ATAATACGTGACGTCATTTTCTCTACCCTATGACGTCACCTAACAACGGGCTTGATAATGGCCCGTCGTCAAGCAATTTGAGGGCATTATCAAGTTACAGTGGCCCGCTCATTTCTGATAACGTGCGGGCGGTTTAATGATAATTCTATCCATTTTAGCTATAATGATACCTTAATGACCCGAAAAAAATACACGGTCAATCTTTAAATAAACCACGCTGCGTTCTTCATGTGTCTTTGCGATTTATCGCATAGTTATTTTATATAACGCCGCACTTCATATGATATTCATATATCAACGACAATCACGGTGACCAATCTGTGAATGCAATTCAACAAAAAAAACATACCAATCTACACCAGGGCTCACTTGCACAAAGCGATCTTAGCGCTGAGATGATCGTAACTCCCATAGTCTTAGCGCCAAGATCACTTTGTGCAAGTAGGTCCAAGCCAATAACTGGTAGTTTCTCCTAACGATTGCGGCCCGTGAAGATCCGGGGTAGAATAGGTCTTCAGCAACCCATGCTTGCCGTAAAAGGCGACTATGCTTGTCGTAAAAGGCGACTAATGGGATCGGGTGGTCAGGCTCGATGACTTGGTTGATGCATGTCATCGATCCCAATTGCGTGGATCGATGCTCATGTTGTCAATCACTGGATTGTCTGGTCCAGACTCGATTATTTACAGACCGCCGTCATATAGCTGGAATATTGCTGAGTGCGGCGTTAAACAACGAACCAAAAAATCCTAACGATTGCCGGCGGCTTTACTGTACGAGCTGTATAATCACAATCATAACACCCTATCATCGTAATCCTCTGGTGATCTGCAACGACAGCTGATGACAAATAGAGTGGTTGTTAATAAATAATAATAGAAGCTTTTTCTGAAAATGCCCGGTGTATTTTGATCTTCATCTCCACCCTTTCATCATTGGGTTTATAATAGAAACAAGGATAGTTAATTTGTCATTATACCCTCCTTATCGAGGCGGCGTTTATCGACGTATAGATGTGATTATTTCTGTTTGACTTATATACACACTTAAGAGTGTTTATACCCACATTGAATTTTGCACGTCATGTATTGCACGTGAATGGGCTGAACGACTGATTTCCTTCGGGCTTGCGTTTTCTGTCACCTTCAATCTTGCTCTGTTCATTGTTTTTAAAGGTCGTTGTCCATTTTATCGGTTTCATTAAAACATCCAATCAGTGTGACACAAGCATAAATAACATGTTCTTCAATTGTTAATTACAACATACCCAGACGCCTGTTGGCACATGTTCATGTTGGTCGCCCTACACGCCTCGGTGACCCTTCAGTAATGCTTAGTATATCAATGTTGGATAGGTCAATGCGTCTATTTAAGAAAAAGACAACGACCACGTGTCGAATATTTCTTATGTAAAATATCAACACCATGTACAGCCTCTTTAAGGGTGGTGATGAAATGTGCAAGCTTTAAAAATATTTGCCTAAATTTAGATAAAGATGACTCCCTGAAAAGAATCCAGCCCCGGAAATGTCAGACGAGTCCATTTTACGAACAGGTGGGTTAAGTTTGGTATTTCCCTAATTCTCACAATCTCCAAGTGACGATTATCTGTACCTTTCTTCATAATACCGATTCACTCCCACTTTTGGAGTTTGATGTATGTCATTGTATCCCATCTGCGTGGATCGATGCTGATGATGTCAATCACTGGATTGTCTGGCCCAGACTCGATTACTTACAGACAGCCGTCATATAGCTGGAATATTGCTGAATGCGGCGTTAAACAACAACAACCAACCAACCAACCAACTTTTGGAAGCGATCGTTCGGCCACTGCGTTTATCTACGTTGCCCAGCTACATCTATGGGGAACAACTCACTCGACACTTCTTTCTAAAAAATAACCTTGTCATCTAGACTTGCTAAAATATTGTTTACTTGCTAGGGGAAAATAATGATAAACTGACGTCCAAAAGACCAACTGAAAATATAAATTTCAGACAAAGTATAAAAAAAAATTCTATGAAGTCTATCTAAAACACATAACCTAAATACAACAATAGTGTATGCAGAAAATGTTAATCGTCCGTTTCATGTTTCCGAGATAACACGCGAAAAAGTGAAAAACACGTGCACCACGGACAACTGCAAATGCACGTGCGGGTAAGGGTATAAAACGATTGCAACGGCAAGTCAGACATCCACAGTGATAAAAAAACACACTAAAGAAATGCCACGACTCACAGTCGAACAACGTGAACGAGCCTTGGGTATGGTACAGATGGGAGTCTGCGATTGAGATGGGCCCGGACTGTACGACGTTGGCAACGACGTGACTGGCAGAGGGTTATCGTCAATGGCGAAAGTCGATTCTGTATGTTTAGGGCTGATGGAGGACAACGTGTTTACCGCCGAAGGGGTGAGCGAACGGCGGCGTGTTGCGCGCAGGAGGTCGTACCATATGGTGGAGGGAGTGTCATGGTGTGGGGAGGGATCTGTGGGCAGGAGAGAACACCGCTGGTCATCGTTGACGGAAACTTGACAGCTCAGCGTTACATGGATAATATGCTTCGTCCAGTTGTCCTACCATTTCTCTAACAGCAGCCACGTGGTGTCATTTATCAGCATGACAACGCTAGAGCCCATACAGCCAGAATTGTCACTAACTTCCTCGCAGCCAACAACGTCAACGCCCTGCCGTGGCCTGCACGCTCACCCGACATGTCCCCCATAGAACACCTCTGGGACTTGATGGATCGTCGTGTTCGACAACGACCACACTCTCCAGCCAACCGGCAAGAACTGATCTTGGCCCTCCAAGAAGAATGGCCTCAAATCCCACGTGACCTCATCAGACGACTGACTTTTTCTGTGCGTCGAAGAGTTTTTGCGTGTATTGAGGCATTTGGTAGTCACACACGCTACTAATGACTTGTTATTGAACGTGAGCGATTGTTTATGTACTCTGCCTATTGTCCATGATTCTGAAAGCTCGAGTTTTGTACCACACCCAACTTTGGGGGGCTCTGACGTCATTCTCGGTCGCGGTATGATTGTCATTTTCAGTGTTGAGTATGTTGATATATATTTGATCTTCTTAATACACTTTACTTCATGCATGTATGTTTTGTTGTTTTTGAGCAGGAGTGATTTCAAACTCTGGTAAAGTTTCTTTTGGACGTCAGTATATATTAGTTTCGGGGTTTGTAGGAGAGACTAAACGGATCTAACGACTGTCTCACGTACCTGTCATATACCATTTATCTTAAAACCATTTGTTTTAAAACGTATCTAATTCGTTTTTGTTCGTTAGATACCGTTGAGGCATCTAGACTTGCCAAAATATTGTATACTTTCTTGGGGGAAATTCTGATATATTAATTTCGGGGTTTGTAGGAGAGACTAAATGGATCTAACGACTATCTCACGCATAATGATGATAGTCCCGTGTCTTCAGGGGAGTAATCGCAGACTGCATTGAATACCACACACATGGATCTGGAGGCAAGTTCCGTCAACCGATCTGAGCGCTGCATCTTCGATCACCTGGTGCAAATGTCTCCATTTTCATCAGGAAAACTGTTCTGGAGCAATTCGCCACAACAGTTTCGTTTCGAAAGGTACGCCAACATTCTCATCACTCGTTCATGAGCTTAATATCAACAAGCAATCCTAATGTCTCTTCTGAACGCGAGTTCGACACAGATCTTCATTCTGTTATGAATGAACTTTCTGCCGTAAACGATATTTAGACGGAAATAGAAGTTCTTATGCTACTCCACGTTCACAGCAAAAACGAGCACTGGTGTCGGCGCCAGTTTCCATCACGAAAGAACAGTGTTATTTGATTGAACGTTGTTTCAATTCATCGCGGTGCTAAGACTATCGTAAGTCCTTGTTAAAGCATAGAAGTTACGACAGTCGAACCCCTACGACGAGGCCCACTGCAGTTCCACAAAGCCATCGCAGCGCCACGACTATCGGAACTCCTATACCTTAACATAGACTTACGACGGTCGTAGCGCTGCGATCGTAACTCCTATACTTTAACATAGACTTGCGACAGTCGTATCGCTGAAGTCGCATCTCCTATACCTTAACATAAACTTACGACGGTCGTAGCGCTGCGATCGTAACTCCTATACTTTAACATAGATTTACGACGGTCGTAGCGCTGCGATCGTAACTCCTATACCTTAACATAGACTTACGACGGTCGTAGCGCTGCGATCGTGACTCCTATACTTTAACATAGACTTACGACGGTCGTAGCGCTGCGATCGTAACTCCTATACCTTAACATAGACTTACGACGGTCGTAGCGCTGCGATCGCAACTCCTATACCTTAACATAGACTTACGACGGTCGTAGCGCTGCGATCGTAACTCCTATACCTTAACATAGACTTACGACGGTCGTAGCGCTGCGATTACTTCATGGAACAGTCCAGGGCTCAAAACGAATCCATGATGGCGAATGGGTCGAGGTAGCCAAATGTCAAAACAAAATGGAGACATAATACGCCAGGGCAAAGGTGATTGTAATTCTCATACATGGACTATTGAACGTGTAGCGCTAAGATCGCTTTGTGGAACGGGGCCCAGATAATCTAGGATGCTAGCGTCACAACTACCAGTCTTAAAGTATTGCAGTTACACCAGTGGCTTTGTGGAAGGAGATCCAGGCAGGTGTGCATGAAACATCATCATCTACTCCGACCGATGATAACAGAACTGATAACAGCCAGACCTCAGTATAGGTACGCCCTGCATACTTAACATTAATACATTCAGAAAAGTTATGGGTAATAAGGCATAATTACGTTAAACAACACGATGATTCCCTGGGTGATATATTTTCGCAAACTTTAACGATTACAGAATTGACAAATCGCAAAATAACCCTTCATTTTTCAAGCCCTAGTCCTGTACATTACACTAGTGGGCTATTCTTGTGGAATTACTGCTTCATGGTTTTGGAGCAATCAGCAGGAACCTACCTGTTGCTGCACCCAGTCCTGACCACAGCAAAGCTACACATAGTGCAGGGAACACTCTCCCAATGGCCATGCTGGAACACATTGGTAGTTCTAAACGACTGAGGGAGTAAAAAACATTATCACTTGTTGAAAGTGGCTGCATCTGGGTTATCTTCATCGCTCGTCAATGTTATGCCACATTGACCTGTTGTTGACAGCTAGTATCAGGTATATGTGGCGTCGGTCTTTATCACAAACTGATACGGGCAATATGACCACTTGCTTGATATTTGTGTGTGTCAGACGGGCGAACGCGTTGTCCGTTGGACTCTACTTCTAAATATATTGCTCCAACTCCGTGTTTGTCGTAAAGAAGATTTTCACAGTAGGAAGCGAAACAAGCTAGGTGGACCAGAGTTCACACATGTTAATCCTGCCAGTACCCACCCCCTCTTATATGGACTCCTTGGTAATAGAGCAACGTCCAACGCTGATTGGTTACAATGACATGCAATCCGTTACCACCCGATCCCTTAGTGGCCTCTTATGACAAGCTTACTGGCTTTTACTATTTGTTTAACACTGCACTCAGCAATATTCAAGCTATAAATGACAGCAATCTGTAAAAAAATCGTGTCTGGGTCAGACAATCCAGTGATTGACATCATGAGCATCGATCTACGCAATTGAGATAGGATGCCAGGCATCAGGCACGTCAGCGAGCCTGACCAAACGATCCGTTAGTAGCCTCTTAGACAAGCATGCTGCTGAAGACCAATTCTTCATGTGTCTGGCTTATATTGTCTCATCATTGTTCTGTTGTCAACAACTTGGTTCAAGGCTTGATTATTTATGGGCCACTGTGATAGATCGCTACTGACAACGGTGTATTCACTCACTTGATTCAGAGCAACATTGTACAGAGGAAATGCGTCACAAAATTGCAGTTCAAAAGTTCTGCCGATAATTATTGCCTCAGTGGTTGAGTGAGTGAGTATGGTTTTATCCCGCTTTTAGCAATATTCCAGCAATATCACGGCGGGGTACACCAGTAATGGGCTTCACACATTGTACCCATGTCAGGAATCGAACTGGTGTCTTCGGTGTGATGAGCAAATGCTTTAACCACTATGCTACCCAAACGCCCCTCCTCAACGTACATGTACTTAAGCATAGAAGTCTCACGTAGAATATTTAAGTCTTTGTTTTGTTTTGGTTCCTATTTTGGAAAAAAACAACTAAACCAATGAGCATGAAAAACATTTATTGCACATCAATAACAATCCTTAGAGTTAAAAGAATCTCACAGATTTGGTATGAAGTAGTTTTCGAACAAACTGTACAGCATCATAGTCTAGCACACCGCTGAGTCGTCACAAGGGTTTTGGCTTACATATTCACAGGATCATTAATGTAAGTAACAAAAATATAATACCCCTGATTTGATGGTATGAATTTTAAGTACAAATGATACGATTACATATCACTTATTTAGAAACCACAAGTTAAAAAAGGCTTTAGTCAAGTGGCTGAACAAACACTCTGGCACTCAGTCTCGCTCACACACAATATGGGATATATGAAGGGGGTCCTACAGTTATCATGGGAAAATTTGCCGACACTGATCTACTTTGCATTTGTTATCACGAATAAATGCCCCTTTTCTACTGCTCTGAGGAAGCAATTTGTGATTTTTTTTATGAGTTAAAATACATTAATTTTGTTTTATATATTCAAAATTGAAAAAATATTTTGCATTTCTTTCTGAAAAATATCTGCAAATTCTCCAAAATAATTGTTAGAACAAATATGGAGTCATTTGTTAAAGTTGTGTAAAACAAAATTTAAATGTTTAAAAAGATGGAAAGAATACAGGCCAGTGTTGGTATTAACAAGGACTGATGCTGACTAGAGACACGCCTTCACCTACATATACTTAGACTTTTACTCTCTAAGGAGGATAATTTTATTTGGAAAAATATTCCGTTAAAATCTTCTCAGCATTCAAGTATCTGAACTAAACAATTTAAAGATTTGCATTTCACATTTGAAAACATATCACAGTATTCTAAAATCTACTCATTGAGAATGGTACATGCATCGAAATAAAGTACTTAAACATGTGTCTTATATTATCCACCTGATACCCTAGAGAAACATTTATCATTAATAGAGTCTGAGTTAGCATCCCTCCCTGCTTCATCCCTCTGGCTGGCCCTGGCTGAGATGAACTCTGTGAAGGTCAAAGCATGGGATGTCACACTCCAACCAAGTCTGTTAAGCATTCACAGATTGGGAACAGGTCACCTGAAGAAACCAAAACCTTTCACACAAGAATGTCAAGAACAAGCTCCAAGCCCCAGACTCCCTCGTATCAACCTTACAGGTTCTAGAACCAGCAGCTGGAAATTCCACCTCTGCACTGATGTTAATGGTCTAACTTGAGTGAGTGAGTGAGTATGGTTTTACGCCGCTTTTAGCAATATTCCAGCAATATCACGGCGGGGGACACCAGAAATGGGCTTCACACATTGTACCCATGTCGGGAATCGAACCAGGGTCTTCGGCGTGACGAGCGAACGCTTTAACCACTAGGCTACCCGACCGCCCCTCTAACTTGAGTGTAATATTGACTATGTCCAAAGAGTTGGTGTTTTGATCAATCAGTTATAGGGGGGGGAGACACAGGCGGCCAGTCATCTAAGGCACGACGCTCCACTGTGCAGAGTTGGATCCCTTAGATGCACCAAGAAAACAGTGATCATGGTCAAGATTTGCCAAGACTTATGTTTCTAGGTTTGTCAGCACTGTACATGTGACCCCTGGTTTCACCAAAGTGGTAAACGTCTAAGACCTGAATCACTTCACTCTTTTCTCCCACATCAAGCTGACACGCTGTGAGACATCTGAAATACTGTTCAAAGCAACTTTAAACCAAACACACTCATGTTACGTATCACATTTCTTTACAGACAGTTTCTGACAAAATACCTTCAACAAGTAATCAGCAGACATTTTAAGGTACCCCAACTACGGTACTTCAAGAACTGTATGATGATGGCAAGTCTGGTGCTTGAGACTTCTAGATTCAGATGGATGTGATTGTCCTCAGTATCTGTCAGTGTCATTGTATATCATGATTATAACACACTAATATCACAGCCAACAACCAACATAGACAACAGTGTAGTTTGTTTTCACAGATTTCTTTAACATTTGATTTCAGTTTGCATTCACAGCAACAACATGTGGCCAGTATCACACAATAAACAGGAACTGATTTCACTGTTAATAATTATCGACACTTCATATCAGTAACAAGCTAATATCAATGTGTTTTCGTTCTCCAATTTAAAATGTTATTCACTATCATAACGATAACAAATGATATAACATATTTAATAATTATGTATGATAATACATAATGTTATGTAATGCTTTTAGTCAGATAATAGTGTCTTCTCTATATGTTGTTGTGTATGACACAAAGGTTCACAATTTCTCCATCTGAATCTAGCTGGCAAATCTGCAATCCCAGGAATTTGAGAGGGCAACCATGAACAAGAAATGGATTATAAACACACCTTTGATGCAAGGAATACCTCACATCAACACACTTGAAATAAAAATACACATGTTTAAAGCATGATTCCCAGACTATGGGAGAGAAGAAATCTGCATACAGAGCAGTAGAAAGCTTAGGTGACTTTTCGTTTTGTCAGACATTTGGACAAAATCCAACAAAATATTTTTCCAGCACCTTGACCCAAGGTATCCCCTACTATTAAGTCATTTAGCCAACATACCGTTATATTTTTATAAATTCATAATTATTCACAAAATTTCTTCACAAATAAAATAGAAATATTTTTTCCTTAAAACTAATTATTGAATAAAAATCATGTCACTTACTTAATAAAATGTAGGAATTAAGATTAAAAGGTATTAAAATTTGATTATTTGGCAATAAATGATATAAGAGGGATATCATCAATGTCAAAACAATTTCTTTTGGTATGGAATTGTACAAAATGACACTATTCTAATCTTGTCTGACCAGATACCTTTGATACACAGGGCTGTTCGACGACAGTGCAAAAATAATCACTTCATTGCTTCGCCTCCTTCGATCAAAGTACCAATATATGCATAAAAACAACTAGAAAGTTGAATCTTAGAAACAACTCAAGTTGCTTCCAAAGCAGAAAAATATTGGAAAAATATACAAGTACTTAAGGTGTGGAAGTTGTAGCGATATCGCCATTGCACACAAAAAGTAAAATAAACAAAATTAAAATTAATAAACTTGGGCACTGAGGACTGACAAGTACTTCCCAACAGCACAACAGCTCGACTAGAAAATATCACAAGGAAATATCGTAAAAAAAGTATACCAATCAAGTTGTTTGTAATCTATATTGCACTGAACCTATTGCAATCCTTTTATATATCAAAAAAGAGTATTTGTACAAATTGAATATGATCATTACACAATTGATGGCGTCACATCCAAACAAAACAGGCTGGCAGGAAAACTGTACAGAAGACAAATAAATAGGATTTATCAATATATTCCAAGGTAACATTAAAAAAAAGGTAACGAAAACAAACATGCACGTAAATAAGGTGAAACCACAGGACATGGTGACCACGTCATGTCGGTGAAAGACAAATCGTATAATGATACGCGGATGGTCAGGCATACACATTTCAAAAGTGAGACAAGTTTCCACCAAAGTTCCATCACAACAATTTTAAGGGGGAAAAAATCAGTAAAAATTGGATGCAGCAATAAACCTTGAGAAGATAGTTTCACTGATTGACCAATCTGCAGAGTCAGGTTGCAACATACAAATTTATTTTTTAGACCTCCGTCCTGAATTTAAACACAAAACCTATTGGACGTACGTCTTTCTATCTTGTAAGACTCTCCACTCTCTAGAACGCAGGGAAGACATTGTGAGATCATCTGCATGTCCTTGGTATAGGCTTGTTTAAGACGTCTCACTCAATACAGCTCCGTGGAGTCCAATGTCCTGCTTGGCGCTAGGACCGTTTGATTTCGTTGAAGGCAGTTAACTCAGCCTGCTACAGTCCAAAACCGTAGCGAGGCCTAGGGAAATCACAATTCACTCCAAGACGATTATCATTGGCTGAAACGTCTGTATCGTCCACACTTCTGTAAAACACTCCTCACTTTGCTGTATGTGATCAATGCTTGGACATTGATGGAATGGGTAGGATAATTGTCTCTTGTTAAAGTCCTCCACAAGCTTAGTTACACCAGACACTCAAGCCAGGTGGCCTTGAATCAGCTAATGTTAGTTCTCTGGGGTTTAGGAACTGTCTTCAAACCTCCCACTGTTGAATGAGAAAAGGTGATGACCATGAGCCTGGCAACAAACTTGGTCTTCAAAAGCTTACGGTGTATCCACAAACCAACAATGTTAACATCGCAGACTTGAGCCAAAACAACATGAAAGCATCAATACCATGTATTATATACACTTATTCACATATATATAGGTGGTCTTAACAGCAAATAATTTAATGTGTGTATATATAGATGTATATGTAACCAATGGTTTATCACAGGTATGAAACACAATGCAGCACAACTAACTCGAGGTGACCCCTGGAAATTCCGTCTTTGAGCCAAAATGTGTAACAAAACCTGGGGTTCTCTCAAGACTTGGCTTTGTTAGGACCATGCAACAAAATCAGCAAGATTCTGCCCTCCTGATCAGCGAAATACAATTCAAACAGTCACACTTGTTAGTTGATGGTTCATCTCGCACGTGATTAAAACAGTAACACCACAACACACACAGAGGATAAAAATCAAGAGAAATCTGGATTGCACAAGAAATACCGGTTAGAACCAGAGCCTGCTGGTTTGTCCGAGCTGGAAACTCTAGTTATGTAAGTAGCACACCAGCATGCTACACACTGCGTCACTCGACCTTTGCACTATATACAAGTCTCACGGCAGACATGCACTCTCTGCCAGGGATGTCAACTCGGGGTTAATTATGGTGATGAGTCTAGTTTCAACGCAGGGATACCAACATCTTTCTGGCTGTTGTTCTGCCAAGGAATATGAAGCAGCTACAGGGATGATGTCATACATCATTAGGACTAGTTCTGTTTGTACAAATGGATTTCAACTGGACTAGATGCATTGGTCACAAAATATTTCACTTCAATCCAGTCACGATGGTTTGTGTGCCCCACCTTCGCTCTTGGAACAGAAACCGTCCTCCTCACGTAACATTATTTGGTGCAATCAGTCTTGATAGAAAAGTAGGAAGTTATAAACACTTAAACACTGTGTCATCATTTATGGAACATAAAAGATGAGGTTAATCCCAAGGAATCCATGATTTCTGTGCCAGAGAGACGATCTCCATACTATCATATCTGAGGCGGCCATGAGCAAAGGTTTCTCAATGTCCCAAAATAGTTGAATATCTCTTCTAGCCAAGGTTTCAAAAATATTTCTCAATCTCAAAAATTATCTGATGATCTGGTGATGAGGTTGATGGAGATATGATTGAATATTCCTGACAAGATGAGCAAGCATTGGGGTAAGGATCCTATCCAAATCCAGGGTTACTTAAGTGTAGATTGTATGGAGCTATTCTAATGGATTTCCACACACAGCTCTAAGTTGATTACTTTTGGGATGAAGAACAAACAAACATATATGGAAATGCAACTACGTAAGTCACCGAGTGAGGGATGCAAAGTCAGTCACACATGCCCACCGACCAAGCAGGTTATCTCCCCTTTGGTGAGCACACACAGTGTTGTAGTGTCAAGTGTTAGCTCCACATCGGAACACACATAGTTGGGTGAGTGGACAAACACAAACAAGCCTTGGTTAGCACACTAGTAGTCTAGAGTTATCTCCCCCCTTGTCGGTCACACACAAGGGCGGATGGCAACCGCTATAACACTGTTACATGTACCCTTTTATCGTCTATAGATTCCTCCTCTTCTTCGTCTCCTTGTGTATGATGGGTAGTCTGTGGCCGCCGAGACTCGTCTCCCGCGGAATACTGGTTATAGTCTTTGAGTTCTTGGGCACTGTAGCCCCCTAAATGTTCATAATATGGGCCCCGAGGGGTCCTCTGGCGTATAAGTTCCCTGGCTGCCAAGTCCATCTCTTCCGGTGTCATGTCTGTGGCCTCTGCTATCTCACGTTGTAGACACTTGGCATCTAAGTATTTACCTAAACCTTCTTCCTTTAAAACCTGAAATACATGGAGTGGTATGTCATATCATTCACTTTAAATCTCATTTGGATTGGGATAGGAGTTGTACTGTGAAAATGCTTGAACATGGTTTAGTTTGAATGATTTATGTGTAAATCATATTACTATTTCAGAACTCGTTTAATGCTGTAATGTTGGGATCTTATACCACTATATATACCCCACTACCATATATACCGCACTACTATATATACCCACTACCATATATACCCCCTATCACATATACCCAACTACTATATTATATACCCCACTACCATATATACCCCACTATCACATATACCCCACCACCATATATACCCATTACAACATACCCCACTACCACATATACCCCACGACCATATATACCCAACTACCATATATACCCCACTACTATATATACTCCAATACCATATATACCCCACTACCATATATAACCCACTGCAACATATACCCCACTACCATATACCTCCACTTTCAGTTCGACATGTACCTCGATTTAAACATAAATTCCTCCCTACCGTACTACAAGTATACCCACACACACACCCAACCTCACCCCACTATCTCCCCCACTGATACCTCTGCTACCACAAGTACCTTTTCCACCATGCGCTCAGCACTGCCCCTCCTCTGGACACGGGGGTCTTGCTGGTACTGAGACATGACATGCTGGGGTATGACAAGGGGCCCACGGTCCAGACTGCGGTAGATTGGCCCTGCCGTGTCACCCATGGCTGCTGAGTCCGACAAGCGGTGGCGCATCCGAGGTTCCTCTTGCTCTGTTAAGACAAACCAGGTACCGAATCATGCTGTGAGTTTACGTTATTGACTCAGACCACGGACAATGACCAATCTTTATACAGATGAAGATGAAAAATGATGACTAATTTTAACAATGAAGTTGAAACATCTTTGTCCAGAACTTGAAAGTTTAGTTACAAGCTTGTGATCACACAGGACACCAAAGGCACTGATTTGTGATATATGAGTTTTAAATTTTATTTGAATAACATATCGCAACTTCGATGCTTCATTTAATGTTGGTTTAATATTCACTTATGTACTCCCCTATTATTTACATACAAGCATGTGAAGATCCCAAATACCGAATTTTTACTGAAGATGTGCACCTGTGGTAAAATAACATCTAAAAATATCAAGAAACATGACTCTTGAATGACACTCTTCATAAATCATTTCCTGATTACTTAAAGAACGATTGAGCGTAACAACTGCTTTTAATTATGTTTTTGCAAGAAATCTTATTGATATTACAATGTTATGTCAAGTCATGCATTCTTGATTTCAGTAAAATGTGTCAATATTTTTGCAAGATAAATCTTTTAGAATAATGGTGCACTGTGTAAAATTAAGAAATTGTCTTCCTGACTTTGACAGGAATATAAAGATATATCAATTAATCTACATACATACCTCTTACTGTTAACACTAGGAAACATCACTATGTGAATCATGAGTGTGCACCAGAGCAAAATTATATGTGTTCTCAATCTTTTGAAATTCCAAAGGATCTTATTGATGAGTACCTTTCCATACCCTGGCAGATTACCTCCATTAGCTACCAAAACCAGCAATTGAGAAAAGCGCCTTCTCCCACACATGCTCTTTGAATATTCTTCATAGCATTCAGACCTGTTTACCATTCCATATTTCCATCTTAGCTGCAGTGAGTCACCTAATGCCAAAGCAGACATTACGGAGCACCAGTAAATCAACAGTGTTCATTGAAATGCAGCCAAAACACCAGGCAAGATTACACACAAGCAAGTACTTCTACAATGCACTCCCACTGTGGGGATTCCACGTTTTGAATTAGTCCCAAGCTTCTAATGGGAGACATAATAATGCCGCACTCAGCAATATTCCAGCTATATGACGGCGGTCTGTAAATAATCGTGTCTGGACCCGACAATCCAGTGATTGACATCATGAGCATTGATCCACACAATTGGGATCGATGACATGCATCAACTAAGTCAGCGAGCCTGACCAACCGATCCCAGTCAGTTAGGTACAAGGGGCTTGTTTCATTAATAATGGCCAGTTAAACAGCAACTCAACCATCAACCTAACTGACATTACATGTGACTATTATTAATCTCACATGACCACTGTAAAAGTTTCCTAAACACATATCCTGACCATGTTATACAACTCAATGTTAAAGAACACCCTTTTCTTTCATATTACGATACTTAATCATGGCATGAGAGATTAACTAGTGACATGAAAGAATCGGGTATTCCTTAACGTCTTTTGAGTAGCATACATGGGATATGCCTCTTGGACTCTAGTCACGTCGGCCCATTATGATTTACATTACCATTGCTCAGATTTATGTAAGAGAGACCATGTTTCTGTCACTGTTTCAGGATAGGGTGAGCGAACAATTTATTTTGGACCACAACATTTTTTTCAGGGCATCCAGGTAACAAGTATTTTTTTCCCAGTATTTTAACACAAAAATAAAAGAGTTTATCCACGACCTCATTTACACACTGAGTCACGTGAAACTGGGATTCACCATAATAGCTTTTCGCATTTGCATTTAAGGGCTCTGACATGAAAGATGACAAAATTAAATAATCCATGTCTAACATACCATATTCGCCATAATGAGCAACCTGGGAAATTTACATAGGGGATGCTTATTAAAACCATAATTGAGTTCAATTTTATTTTGAGATCAAGCGTTAGTGAACAAATAGTTCAAACGTCGATCAAACTAAAATGTTTTCAACAAAAAAACAGTGCTATCACTATCCCCTGGGCCATGGGGCACATTAGAATTTTGTTTGTTCATATACTCGTGAATAGAAACTGTAAAAGAGAGTCCAAATATAGCCTCAAAAAGAGACAGGCACTTGGGTGCTTTATGTCATCAGAAAAAATGAAATTAAAACACACAAAAGGACCCTTCTCTGGAACAAATAACTGTCTTAAAACATATCTATTAGATAAGCTAAGTTCAGTAGTTTCTGAGAAAACATGTCCCCATGGCAGACACGATGCACTAAGTAAAATAACATTGATCAAGGGTCATAACTCTGTAAAAAGATACCGGTAGTTTACAGGACCAAGTTTCGAACTCAGTCTTGACAAGTATCTCTTAGATAAGCTTGCAAACTTTCATTCCTGTAATTTCAGTAGTTTCTGAGAAAACTTGTCCCCATTTCACACAGTATGCGCTAGATGAAAAGCACGCCGCAAGGGCCATAACTCTGTAAATAATGAATTTCTGACACCAAATTACGAAATCATTTGAGATGATAACCAGTAACATAAGTGTGTAAAATTCATTTCTATAACTTAAATAGTTTTTGAGAAAATATGTCCCCTTTGAGAAGCGAACGGATGAAAAGACAGACAGATGACTCCGTTCCTATATTCCCTGCCCACTTCGAGGTGGGGAATAATGATAGTTACTATAGGCATTTATATACCCTTCTTCACCTCTGTTTTCAATTGAAAAAAAAATGTAACAAAGACAAGAAAATTTCTGCCTTAGTAGTAGGTGTTAAAAGATTATTTAGATTCCACAGATTGGTCTAGAAGATGGTCTAGAAGATGGTCGGGGACAGTACAACAACTGGGAGCCAGACAACCATGAATGTTAACGTAAATAATTCCAACAGCACCTGGCACATGTGGTCATCCAAATGTGGAGATGGACAACAGTGGCATTAAGGATTGTAGACTTCGATTTTTAAGAGATAAAAATTAAAAGTGTAGACAAGCTTGGAGCTCTGAATATCAGGCTTGACAACATCGATATACTACGTTATCACATCAGCTAGTCATGCAGACAATGCCATATCACCCATGTCTCAGTATACAACATCAAGAAGCCACAACAGCTGATTGTTGACTGTTTACCTCGGATAAATAGCAGGCCCACTGCAGACACACTACACTGCGTTAGCATCTGCTCGTTACATTACGAGGACAATCATTTCTGTTACATTTTCTTTAATCTTAACATTCAATGCATACATGCTATGAACTAATTTTGGTATCTAAAATTGACTTGAGTGAAAGTTTGAAAAATACAGATGAAATGTAAGCGTGTATTGTGTAAAATACAGATGCTTGAAACTAAAACACATATTTACACCTGAGGCCTTTTATTTATTATTAATTGGTTTACCCAAATAAATTGGATTAATATTTAATGTGAAATGTAATTGTAAAAAAATATGTTTGTTAAAAGTAATTTATTTTATGCTAGTTTCAGATATTTTTAGGTCAGTCTTTAAACCAATTAAAAATAAATATAAGGCCAAAGAAACTGTAAACTTGTGCAGTGCAAATTATTTAAAACTGGTCTGTATTAAACACTAATTATAAGTCCATATGTTCTACATACTATCAAGGCATTAAACCTAATCTCCACACTAAGTCATGTTTCATTTCCAAAGATAAAATTAAGAGTAAATCTTGATTCAAAGTAAATACCAAGTTAGTCAAAATACTGAGTAATATGATGCAATGATAATGAAATAAGTCGTTTGATGGTAATGACTGGTTCATCAGCTGCCTATGGAAAGCACTAAAACTACTGTAAGCAAGTTCAGCGATCCTATTTTCATCAAACACATGCCTTTACCCAAACCTACCTCTTACACGGTCCTTTCTCCAGTTTTTGAAAAAGTTCAAGAATTTACCACCTATCCCCGAAAATACACAAGAAAAATAATAAATCTCCTCTATATGGCAAAAAACATGGGAACTAAAACGATGAGATTAATTTGATTAGAAAATCTGATTATGAGAAATGATGATATGTAAATTATATGGTAGTTATTAATATGGTTAGGAAGCAAAATAATTTCTATAGCATTTTATTTGTTAGGTGATTCATCAAAGGAAACAGTTTTCACTTCAATCAAATCAGGTTAATAACGGAAACTTGAATATCTGAAGGTAATGAAGTTTTGCGTCATTTCAAATCAAACTTAAATTAACACTATACAAATTCATCTCATCATTTTAATTCGTAACAATAAATGTCTAACTACTAAGTACCTAATCCAGTAGTCTGGAATGGAAACTAGCCACGATTTGAGTTTACAAACAGGATTAACAGAAATTTCAAGGAATCAAATATAGAAATATATGCAAATGTTTAATCATGTGATAACCTACTCCTATATTATTGGCATAAAATAGGTCCCCAAAAATATCAAGTCTCTAAAAAGGTGGTTTAAATATGGTCGATTTCATCCAGAATTGCTTCTGCTTCTATCGACATTTTAATATATTTCATATCTTGAATACTGAAAGCACTGGTAGTTAATTCAGTCTGTGTATTCCAGCAATATCACGCCAGGGGACACCAAAAATGGGCTCCACTCTTTGTACCCATGTTGGGAATCGAACCCGGGACTTTGGCGTGAACGCCTTCACCACTAGGCTACCCCATCGCCCTAAACATGAGGAAACGCCATGAGGGTACAGGCTTTACACAGAATCTACACACTTTTCAAGGATCGATTTCGGTTTTCAAGGATCATTTTCCCTTTTCAAGTATCATATTCCTGGAATGCTTCGGTACAAAACTGTTCTGATCATACAAAAATTAATTCCACCACAACTAACATTGACACTAACTTGATGTAAGGAAATTGTTGGTAGGAATTTGAATTTTTATATTTTCAAGGGACATAATTACTTATTTCTAGGAATCACAATACCCAAATAAGCATATTTCAACAAAGCCCAGGCTAGTCAAGCACTTGTACATCTCTGTAAATCTTGATCCCTAGCTTCCCCCCAGAACTGCACAGCGTCAAGAGACTTTGTTAAAGTTTGTGACACATAATAACAGATGAACCATCAGCTGATTCCCTCATCTACATAATCGGCAAAAGTGATGCTAAATGAGATATAACGATATTAAAAATGCGTCCTTTATATCCCTAGAATAATAGCTTCACAATGTAAAAGTGGGAGATTGATGAATACAATGTATAGAATGTATGGCATGTATATATTGGAACACACTACACGTAAACGAAGAGTGTTTCACAGACGATACGAACTTGACAATAATAACAGCTATAAAATATTGAGGAAAAAATAATTAAGAAACAAACACATTCCCCATGTTGTTTTATAACAAAACTTATCATATGCCCTGTATATTCTTGATTGGCATTGGACAATTTTCAGCACAACAAACTATTCTCAACATTCCATGATGTACAAATTCATTTCCATTTATATTTTTGGGCAAATTGTGAAAACACAAAATCTCTTAGTTATGCTTGGTAAACATACATGTCACTCAAGCCATTCAGAAAAAATACAAATAATTCATATTTTAACTTGAAACATATTGTGAAAATAGTCCAATACCTTTCAGCACTCAGCATCTTGAAACAGAAAAGTAGGAAGCTAAAACATGTTGAAAACGAACCTGGAGCCAAGTAGTGTCGTGATCGGCTCGGTGAGGTTGGGGGCGTTCTCACAGCGTTCGGGTACTGCATGGGGCGCTGATAGCCCGTCAAACCTTCTGGAGTCATCCGAGCAACAGCCATAGCCTGTAATAAACACAGAGCCATTAGCGACACTTATCAAACTGAATCAAATATTGAAATCACAGACAAAAATGCATGCAGTTATTATTCACATTAAGCATTACAAAAGTTATGTTGATATGAAATTATTAAATTACATTGTAAAAAAAGAAATTGTTGATGTAAGTGAATTTCTCGTAGAAATAATGGCGTTGGTAAGTTGTCTTGTCTTGACAAGAATATGGAATAATATGCGGAAAACATTCAATAAACAATTACAGTTATTACACTGATAATAAATGTGAATCATGCTTTAAAGAGTTAGTTTCTTAGTGGGGATACATACTATTGATAGCCAAATAAGCATTTTGTAACATGAGGGAGATTCTGGTGTTATTAGTGAAAGCCTGTTACAAGTCAAATTATCAACAATTGAGAAATTATGTTGCTTTATCAAAAAATATCTATCAAGAAAAAATATTCAACTTAATAAGCATTTATCAAACGGCACAGGTTCAATTCATTGTTGTGTAATGGGGTTCAATAATTTACAACATCACAGTGACTTGTCAAAGCTACACACAACTGCAGGGGCAACACATTATTTCATACTGGCAGAGTAAGTCACGCATTTGTCTTCATGTACTCCTAATATCTTTGTCATTTTTTACTTTTATTTTAGGTCAAATCTGTTCAAGGTTATTTTTCCATGTGGTCAAAAAAATTTTTTCCGCCTTGGTTTACAGAATTAATAGCGGTTTTGCGTATGTGTGGTGATTCCAAGATGTTGGTTATACGAACATGTTTTTAGCTGCATTTAGAAGACGTTTAAGAGATATATATTTCCAATCATGGTACCACAGTTTAGAGTCGTCTACTTTTTTAGCGCATTATGCCAACAAAAAATCTCTTCTGCAACATACATAACAGTACTAAGAGGGAAACGATTAGTTATAGCAATGTGTAAATTTCGAATATCTCTTCACAACTTTCGAGTCAACATTATTTGCAAAAGGCCATTGTTGAATATACCTCATACAAAATCTATATGTAAATCTATATATCTTTTTTGTATGTAAGAAATATATTTACTTGAGAAATACTTTTTTTACCTCATTACAGAAATATTATAAAGGTAACATTATGTTTGCAAATTTATTGAATCATGTGATATTAATGTACTACGCTTGATAGCTTTATATTTATGTAAATTATTTAAAATGAGATCGAGATAAACGAGATAATAATGAATAAATAAATAAATAAATAAATAAATAAATAAATAAATAAATAAATAAATAAATAAATAAATTGGTAATTGTGTTAACCTTGTCTTCTCTGTCATCTTGTTTAACAAATTGTGTGCATATTCATTTCTTATCATCACATAATTAGCATAATACAAAATAATGCTTTTCAGATTTGAATTTTTACTTTCACTTTGTATTTGCTGGTTGTATTTTGCTTCGAACATACTGTTCACTTACATTTCCTCATAATTGTTTTAACTGGGTGCCCTTGTGAAAGCATTGTCAAGGTGTCTGCAGTGGTAACATATCAGTGACACATCTGCCCACAGATGTAAGGTGGTCAAACTATCAATGGTTACCACATGGTTACTACATTGCTATACTATGATGCACCAGTGGATTGTGATGTCTCCGCACAATCCTTCATAGCCATTAACCCAGGCTGCAAACCTGGTGATATTTGTTTACCACTAATTACTATCATTACTATCATGTAACAAATTCCCAACAGTAGCATGATGGTCTAGATGAAATGATATTTTTTTTACAAAGGGTAACCCTCTGGAAAATAGTACCATGATATTCCTAGTAGAATTATTCATTGACAAAAGGTAGCCTTCCTGAAAAAAGTACCATGAATGATGATATTCTAAGTAGAATTATTTATTGACAAAAGGTAGCCTTCCAGAAAATAGTACCATGATATTCTTAGTAGAATTATTTATTGACAAAAGGGAGCCTTCCAGTAAATAGTACCATGATATTCTAAGTAGAATTATTTATTGACAAAAGATAGCCTTCCAGAAAATAGTACCATGATATTCTAAGTAGAATTATATATTAACAAAAGGTAGCCTTCTTGAAAATAGTACCATGATATTCCTAGTAGAATTATTTATTGACAAAAGGTAGCCTTCCAGAAAATAGTACCATGATATTCTAAGTAGAATTATTTATTAACAAAAGGTAGCCTTCCAGAAAATAGTACCATGATATTCCTAGTAGAATTATTTATTGACAAAAGGTCACCTTCCAGAAAATAGTATCATGAACTGGTAGCATTAGTCATTGACAAAATTGACTGAAAATCAAATACTTTTTTTCCAGTTGCCTAGCAAGAAGTATTTGTCTAGGTGACTTTCAACTTTGACAAAAAAATCTACTTTCTTGTTACTATATTACCAAAATAATTATTCATCAAATTCATAAAGAAACGTCATGATCAGTTGACTGGCTAGAAGTGTAGTGAGTGAGTGAATGAGTATGGTTTTACGCCGCTTTTAGCAATATTCCAGCAATATCACGGCGGGGGACACCAGAAATGGGCGGCTAGAAGTGTATGTATGCTGGACGACCTGATATACGTACGCTCATGCAATGGTGGAAGCGGTAAGTTAGGACTATATCACGCCAGGCCACACTTCTACCAAGTAAAACACTTCACCTGTGGAGTTACCTGAGCCTGCGTCAATCGCAACGGCTCCGCAACTTTTCTCATCAAGGGATTTTCATCACTGTCCTGTTTCCCAATGCACCCCAGTTTGAAGGACGCCCCCCGGCGACTCAGTTTCCGTGGGGGTGGCGTTGGTGGGGTCTGTTCACGCTCGTAGTCACTGTCCTCTTGTGGAAGACTGAAATCACACAGATCATTAAGCATGGGACAACATGATTTATTGCACATGAAAAGATTTGAAGTCATAATAACCTTCTAACCATGTAATAAGCACCTGAGTGAATTACCAAGGTGGTTTTAATGTGAGGGTTTCTTACTAGATAGAATGATGTTGTGCTTCTGTTTACACTTAGCTAGAAAGGTCAGACAGGTAGGCCATTTGGGTTTAAAAAAAGAACAACCCTGTTACTGTGTTGGAGGAGTACAGAAAAATAAGTAGTGTTTAGTATATATTTTCATGTCCTCTGTGTTTGTCCTGATCCGTGGGTAATTAAACAACCATGAACAAAACCATCAAATAGGGTTGGTTAGGTAATCGGAATCAGGACATGATGCTTATGCACTAGTAGCAAAGTCCATTCCAGACTAGTACAGAGATCCAGAGAACTTTTTGAGCAATTGAGTTTTTACTCGAAGGTTTCTATTTTAATTGGGTCATTTTCCATAGGGTAACCAATATTTCTTCACCCATCTATTCATCACTCTATTGTGTTTTTTCCATGAGTAGTTTGAAGGGCTAAAAAATGATAAGGTAAGGAGTAAAAATCAAATCATGCAAAATAGACTGGGTACATTTTGACCCTCAACCCTCACTTATTGCACACTAAAGTACACATTAAAACTTTGATATACATGTATACCCTCTTAACTGGCAAAACGGATAATACAAACAATGATTCCTACCCCATATTAACAAAACATGGATTTTTAAAATACATTTAACACTGAAACAGAAACCAAAGATTTGGATTACATATTTTAATAATTCTTAATCAAAAGTGTTATTGGTTAATCGAAGTAATGAAATACAACCATAAGAAAGTGCTACCTATAATGAAGATGTGCAATAACTTAAACTGTCCACTGAAAGATTTGCTTGTCTCCGCTATCTGGCTGCATTTTCAAACCTCTAACGAGGAACACTCTGTACATAAAACCAAAATGTCTTTGTCCAATGCCTCAAGAATGAAGCAGTTTATTGGTTCTCAGCCATCAAGTCATTTTCTTTTAAACCAAACAATAAAAACAAAATACTTATACAATGGATTTTTTTTCCCGCAAATCTTTTTAACCAAAAGAATACTAAAAGATTCTTTTTCAAAATGAGGAGATAAAAGCCAATCTTGCAGGAAACTAAATGCTTAATTAAGAGTTAATAAACAACTCACTCCCTGTAGACATAAATGCCATGCTTCTTGGTCATCTCTGGAGGATTGAGGGCATGAGTACGGTTGTTAGGTATGACATGTTCACCCAGCACAAGTGGCTGGGGGGAGGTAGCAGAAGAGTGGGTAACAACAGTCTCCAGGTCCGAGTCTCCCCCCTGTCCCTCGTCTCCCTCCCCCTCAACTCCCTCCTCCCCTTCACTCTCCTCGCCTTCAGAGGATACCTCACTGCAATAGATTCCATGGCCTCATTAGACCATTGCCACATAACCTTGACTATCTGAACTCATGGTAACAGCCTTGTTAAACCATTGCCACGTAACCTTGACTATCTGAACTCACAGTAACAGCCTTGTTAAACCATTGCCACGTAACCTTGACTATCTGAACTCACTGTAATAGATTCTACAGCCTTGTTAAACCATTTCCACTTAACCTTGACTTTCTGAACTCACGGTAATAAATTCTACAGCCTTGTTAAACCATTGCCACGTAACCTTGACTATCTGAACTCACTGTAATAGATTCTACAGCCTTGTTAAACCATTTCCACTTAACCTTGACTTTCTGAACTCAAGGTAATAAATTCCACAGCCTTGTTAAACCATTTCCACTTAACCTTGACTTTCTGAACTCATTGTAATAAATTCTACAGCCTTGTTAAACCATTTCCACTTAACCTTGAGAATCTGAACTCACTGTAACAGCCTTGTTCAACCATTGCCACGTAACCTTGACTATCTGAACTCACTGTTACAGCCTTGTTCAACCATTGCCACGTAACCTTGACTATCTGAACTCACTGTAACAGCCTTGTTCAACCATTGCCACGTAACCTTGACTTTCTGATCTCACTGTAATAGATTCCACAGCCTTGTTCAACCATTGCTACTTAACCTTGAGAATCTGAACTCACTGTAACAGCCTTGTTCAACCATTGCCATGTAACCTTGACTTTCTGAACTCAAAATAGATTCCACAGCCTTGTTAAACCATTGCCATGTAACCTTTATATTCAGAACTCACTGTAATAAATTCTGCAGCCTCGTTCAACCATTGCCATTCAATCATTCTGAACTCACCATTGTAGATTTCACGACCTTGTTTTACCAGTACTACTTAATTTAATCAAATATATTCCCACTTGAGTTATCCACAATCTGTATTCCATCTCTTAACTCATCACAAGAGCTCCCTCAAAGGTGACTGGTTTCAAAAGAAGGCAAGGGGACAGAATAAACAACTTGAAAAACAATTGTCATTCCACCGTAAGGGCAAGGGAAGCTGGCAAGGGTTAAGGCGGGGTGTTTCTCAACAGAACATGATGTGAAGAACAAATAACAGAGGAAGACCTGTAAACAGTGTTGTTAAGGTTAGATAAACATAATGAAATGAAAACATAATCATGGGTAGATAAATCTCATATTACCTGCTCTTCTCACTCACTGATTGCTCACTTGATTCACTGTGTAATATTCATGGTTAGTTTTATATTACACAGGACATTTCATTCTTATGGTTTCATTCAAAGTTTCAACAATTTTCTTACACGATTTAATCTGATTATTTCACCCCAACACATTGCTATTGAATACAGTGAAACCTGGTTAATCCAGACCCTGTTATACTGCAAACACGCCTTCTGAGCAATCATGAAGGTCACTTCAAAAATATACTCAAAAGTTAAAGAACACCTGATATAACACCACAACAACACCAGGAACATGAAAGAATGGGGTGTTCTTTAACTTCTTTTGAGTAGTATATAACCAAAGGAGCAGTGCGCCATATCCATGTTTTGTTATTCTGGAAATTTGGTAATTGGGACGGTTTCGCTGGGACTGGTGCTGTCTGGATGAACAAGGCATCACTGTCTGATGAACACACTAATGCAAGAAATGGTTGTCATCTGTGAGAGTTTTACTTGGCACAGTAAATCAATTCTGTTTAAAATTTTGATTTCACAAATAGATGGGAGAGTGTTCAAGGTTGTGGCACTTATATAGGTGAGGTGAGGTGAAATGGGGCTTAATGTCGCATCAAGGGTTAATGCACTTATATAGCAACTGCACTTTTTCAGCGACACACATGCATGTGTGTGTGGCTGCTCGTACTAGTCCGGACTCATACCGATTTAATAGTGCTAGCCCACTGACATACCATGCCACAGTTTAACATGGATTCCCTACATCCTGCATGTCAAGTAAACCATTCAGGTTTTTTTTTTTGTAAAACCTGGTCAATTGTTTACATAATACTTCACAAAGTGACATCCTTTCCTTGCAAGAGTATACAACAGCATAAATGAGCAAAAAGGAGCACCAAGAGCGTAAAGCATTATAAAGCAAGGGGGATAACTCTACCTTGACTTGCTGTCTCGTCTCTGGTCTTTAGCTGGCTCTGGTGGTATATTGAGCGATGGACGGGGTGACGGTGTGTGGTTCATCTGGTTACGGCTCTCAAGGTTCAGATGGTTACAAGACCCAGTAGCTAAGTTACCATTGATGTTCTCCTTAATTAACCAAGTATTAACAGGAGAGACCTTCTGGTTCTCTTCACCAGGTTTTCCTTTAAGTGATTGTGTGCGGTTCAAGAATGGAAGAATTGGTCGTGTGTATCCCGCAATGGCACTAACCACACTGCCGAACAGACCATGATTTCTCTGAAATGAATCACATCAACAAAAGATTTTAACACAAACTTTCCAATGATATTCACGATTGCCTCCCCCTTCACTCTTTCATCATCCAAAAGTAATTTGGACAGATCTATTACAGCTAAAATATATACGATTATTCATTAGACACAGAAATGATTGTCCAGTTGATAGACTCTACTCCCAAGGCACCTCTGTCCAAATGGAGTAACCACGTTATACAACAGATGCACTAACTCTATATCACCATCATCAGCTGCTCCAACTGACATGAGCCAATGAAAGCACAAGACAGATGAAATAAACTGGGGAATGTATCAACTTAGAAGGAAGATTGTAATACAATGGCATGGCCACAATATAGAAACAAAGATAAAAAATAAGAAACTTGCTCAGCTTCATGCCAAAATAAAGTTTGCTATCTTACAGATAAGGAAACAACATTTATTGTATATGTATATTCACAGTCATAGGATAACAACAGTTGTAATCTATATACTATGGTTGTTATAGACAGGATAATAGCCATAGAGTAGGGTTAAATCATATGTACATGATCATAGAGTATACATGTATATTGAACTGAAAGTAATGTCAATGTGCTACTTTGGATAACTATTAGTTGGAGTTGCACCCATTTCTTTGTGAATCAAGTGAAATGTATGTCAAACAATATATTAATCATAGGGGTGTGCTAGATTTCGGATATGGATGAAAGGTGAATATTAACTTCTGTAAACGGAGAGAATGGGAAGAAACAGAGGGTGTAGAAGAATTCTGCAATTCTGGATAAAAAAAAGGATTTCTGCTCATATTCCATTTCATATTTTTAAAGACAGTTGGTTGAGATTTAAAAAATATGTACCATCTTTTAACTGATTTTTGTGAAGGATTTTCCAATTTAGCTTCAGAATACTGTGCACCTGTGAAATTGAATATTAAGCTTTACCAACCCTATGCATAGGTTCTTCTATATCTTTATCTAAGAATTCCTCGTCATCCAAATTTCCTGATATGGCGCGTCGTATTTCCGGCCCAAGGTCGTGAACTGCTCGCAGACCCGCCTAAAAGACAAACACATCAGGTCTCTAATGCTACACAGAGTATCAAGGGAGATAATTTGCATTACCTAGCTGTTAGTAAAGAAGGCTTAGTTTTTTTGGCAAAGTGGGGGGCCATTTTTCAAGTGTCTTACAGAAATTGGACTTGATTTTTCTCAAAGTTTTTGAAAGGCAGTTTCTTTGAACCTTTTATAAATAATAATAGTTAAAAGCTCATGTCAGTGAGAGATCTTTACATTTCGTAACCCATAGTAACAATTTTCATCAAATAAATTACTTATCTTAAATAAATGGATAAAAAGATATAATTGATTATATTTGACAGGTTCTAATGAAAACTATTTGGTATGAACCATAATTGTTTTACACAATCACTAAAAAATACTTTCTTCATTCTTAGAGTCCTAAATATGAACATGAGCCGAAACTTAAGATTTAGTTTTCAAATGTCTTGCTGTTATTCTAAGATTTTACCAGATTAAAGGCATATGTGCTAAAAATGGCCCAACACTGATCAGACAGTAAAACTGACAGCCGTAGAAGGAGGGCTCCGAAAGATGGGATAAGAAAGGAGACAAATTCCATTATCAAGCAGTGTTGAAGGTTAGAACGTCAGGCAATTAAATTTCACCATGTCAACATTGACCCCAAGGTCAAAGCGCTGTAGAGACCATTTCTGTGCAGAATCTAGTTCTATATCAGGACTATCTCCTAACTATACTCTACTACCTGTTTAAAAGTGCAAAATTTCTCATACAAAATGCTGAAAGCAATACAGGTTATTCAGATGCAGAAAAAATATTTTTCTCAAAAAAAATAACTCTAATCTAAATATTATCTTAAATGAAATGTGCTCTATCCTAACTTCTACGTAGGAAATAAGCTACAGCCCCGGTAGTCTTGGTACAAGACGTATTCCTGACAAGCAACATTCTGGTGGGATGGCAAAGCTCAACAAAGCAAGGTGAAGTCCTTGAAAAGCATTCACATGCATGGTTATTGACATCAAAAACTGTAGCATGTTATCTTCCATTAGCTATCATCAAGCCATACGTTCAAGCATGGATAGAACTAGGAGAGTCTTAAGTTGATGGCTGTCTAATGGGTGCATGTATTCACATTACAAGTAACCGTTTATTCAGGAGGGTCAGCAAGTGTGTTTACATGCTGACTACCTTTGGTTCTTGACCTATAAAGGGCTAGAAAAGAAACAGGGTATCATTTAACAAATGCTGGAGTGAATGAAATGATTAAACGCAATTTGCAGATAAGTATCTTCATTCCTTCATGTTTATCTGTGTATCTTTTATCATTTATCAAGTTGAGTTGTTTTCCAGATTATGGACAATGAAAAGAAATTGTATCATGATACAGTATGATGTGTGTGATTGCTAATACTGGTCTTCATATTTGTATACATGTAAAAGCACTTCAATAAGTCGTTTCATTAAGATACTCTGGTAAATATTCTACTTACAAAAATCTTAATTATATATATGGAGACTTAGGAATATGAATCGTTTCCAAAGAAGTTTCTGTCACTTTTAAACATAAGGGACAAAACTCTTCCCTAATCATAAGAAATCTCTGCTAAAAGCAGACTCTATTGTACGATTCCAACTCTATCATGAGCATGTGTAAGAATCACTATCAATTAGTGATGATACCAGGTGTTTGTTAAAAGGTGAGCATTTCCTGTGCCACCAGATAACAAAGCCTATCTTCTACCAATGATGTAGGACTCAACTCCTTCAGAACCACCAAGAGATGATGGGCCGACAGATATAGGATGTCAAAGCCGAACAACATGCAATACTTTATTAGTATTTCAACTGAACTAAAATACAAACACCGATTTTTCTTCTGCGTTTTTTCAAAATATTGAACAAACTACTAGGAAATTACAACCAGTTTCAAATTTCAAATTGTGTGTGCAGTGATTTTGTATTTAATTTCTATGTAAAATTAAACAAAAATTATAAAATCAAAACTGAATTTTAAAAGTTCATGCTAAATGTTTGCTATGATAAAACATATTAACATAGACATATATACCTACCATCTACCTAACCGACACACGGTTTATTCAGGCATTGTAAGCTGAGGTTTGGATGTATATGTCTATGAGATTAGCAAGCAGTGATGCACTATCTAACAGCATAGCTACATATAGAGGATCAAATCCAGTAAATAAATACATATGTGCTATGTATACAATACACACATTCTGTAGTACTATATGACAAACAGTATGGTTATGAGACAGCAATGAGAAGATGATGATACAACACTTGTAAATAAAGAATATAAGAAAGGCTCTTTGTGTTGAAGTCTAAATATTATCATGCATTGATCAATATATACCGGTACATGTATAAATATGGACAAATAACGCATCTGTTCAAGGCAAAGCTTACAGTCATGAATATTAAGACGAATATGTAAGACATTGATCCATCGTAAGACTGTGGCAGATTGTCACATTAATGGCAGATTTCGTTATTTCATATGTCCTGTTTATAAACATTGGAGATAGCATTGTTATTTTGTCATTATATACATACCAAATTCAGTTACAAATGCCTACACAAGCTACCAAATCTATGGCGAGGTTGTTGTGTGGCGGCAGAGATTGTTGTTGGTATATTTCTAGTGATGGGCAGAGGCAGCAAAGGACTCATAAAATATTGAGCCCTGTAAAAGCTAATCTGCCAGGAAGTGAGTTTTGGGTTACCTCCCTTGGTTGCCCTTGACAAACTTGACAGACTCGATCATTTTAGAAGTTTCTGGATGGGACAGTTTCTATACTGCTGGCTGTACCTATCTAAGAGCGAGCACAGTGCAATTCTAGGCCAATTATGACCTGACTCGCGTCTAATCCAGATGCAGATTGGATTCCTATTCGAAAACAATTTTAACATATTCCTGACAGCTTCAAACACAATGCCAGACTTTAGAACCATGTGCCTCTTTCAAGACATTCAACAGTGACAAATTCTGGACATTCGTGCGAGCATTGGGTCATGTAATAGGGCCTGATTTTCATGGCTGCTGCCACTCGTTTGGCCCACTGTATTGCCTGTTGTGACTGTAAACTTGATCTTGTGTGGTCATTTACTGATTTTACAAATAAGTTCTGTATAAAACCAATTTCAGGGATAGCCTTTGCATATAAATTTGGAACACTTCAGATAACAAGGGTTAGGAAATTATGGGGTGGATTAGGTTTTGAATGAATTTCATTAATTCTGAGCCCAAACGGAACATCAATTCTCAGCTTAGTACAGGGATAACATTAAGGGTGAAATGGTGAGAACTGATAAGGTGCATCCGCTAAGGTGCTGGGCTTAAGACAATGGAGTTTTAATGTTTGCCACTAACTCAACAATCTGCCACAAACAGTTGCCTGCCATGGTTCTCAGTCTTATAAATATGCTTGGATATATTTTCATGCTAAAATTAGAAGAATTAAAGCTGTTACATGTCATACTTTGTAATTATACAACATTTTTTGAGAAAATTAATAAAAATAAAAATATTGCAATCATTAACATTAAATCTATAATCCTTTAAAACATGTTCATAAAGATAGAGAGTGATATGTTGAGAACAATAATGACTTCTTACATATAAGTTTGATCTGTTTGGTCTGACACAGACTAAAACTTCATCGCATAAAATATCTATAGTCTACGTCAACAAATCTCAATAATTCTTTTAGCTCACCAACACAATGTGGTAGGTTACTGTTGAAATCTATGCATTCAAAATCAAAATATTTAAGAAACAACAGTACATATACTGTGAGAATCATTTTTGTGTGCATTCCAACATTCACGAGGTGAGCTAAAATTATCTGTTTCAAAATCCATTTTCACGATCTTTAAATTTAAATATAAGCTTGATATATATAATCTCTCAAGAGATGTCATGTTAGATATACTGGATCAATAAATGGAGTTTGTGTCAGTGGAACTGAACACAGACATGGCATTCAGGAGGACCCGGCCCAGTTCCCGATGCTTGACCCGACTCAAGGGCTGACATGTACAGGCATTATTGCGTGTGACCCGGGCTCAGGTGTGCCTTTGTTCCCCGATGTTGATGTTCGTTACTTAACTGCCCCGTTTGGATTCCAGGTTAGAAGCCCCCAGCAACCCAGCCAGGACTAGTACAAGCAGCCATACACACATATGAGTGAAACAATCTTGAAGGCACCGGTAAACCTCATTTCACTCACCCCACCTCATTGCACTGACTGAATGGTAGCCAAGTGGGTAGGTGTTAGCTTGGCCGGCATGAGATCCAGGTTCTATTCCCACATACAAATTCATTCTCTAATCTGGGTTAAGAATAGGTCTTCAGCAACCCATGCTTGTTGTAAAAGGTGACTATGCTTGTCGTAAGAGGTGACTAACGGGATCGGGTGGTCAGGCTCGCTGACTTGGTTGATGCATGTCAATGTTTCCCAATTGTGTAGATTGATGCTCATGATCGTCCAGACACAATTATTTACAGACCGCCATCATATAGCCGAAATATTGCTGAGTACAGCGTTAAACAACAAACAAAACAAACAACAAATTCATTCTCAGGATCACCACCCACCATCACATTGCTGCACAAAACCTGGCTCACACATATAAAAGCAGTAAATTAACTGAACAAAGTTCATTTCCATTTCTTACACTCAACTATTCTGAAACAGAGCATATCATCCAATCATCAACACATGGATTTTGAAACAGACAACACTATTCTAGAAAAAGAGATTTGAACGGTACTCACATGCAAAGCGTTGGTGTGTTCCTGGCCTTTTTGAATCTTTTGCATTTGTTCTTTGCGTTTCTTAAAGCGCCGGAAATAGTCTTGGATAAGAAATGTTGCATAGAATTTCCCCACTGTGACATCGTCATCCCCTGAAATCCAATGCAGTCTTCCCAATTAGTATGCAGTAGATCTGAGTCAGTGAGACAATGCAGAACGATGCCTGGTGTATATACGATCCATTCCATGGAAACAATGTTACACAGGACATGATACATACAGAATATGCTCTGCAACAGACAGCCACAGGAATGTAGTTGCGCTGGTTATATTGCTATGTATACAGAATGCACATGGACGATGTTAGCATGGCCATGGATCAGGATGTAGCATGGATGTTTAGATATGGGATGCTTCGGACAATATTAGCTTGTACAACTGCATGAGAATCGGCACCGTTTGGAGCAAGTGTTCATGTTTTCTTAATTGTGAAATTTGTACATGGTTCTTTATTTTCTTCAGCTATGCATACTTTAATATGCTTTACTTTTAAAAATATATTTAATTGTTCAGTTTGACTAGAAAAACACGGGATTATGACACAAAACCTTTCCATGCCAATCATATTTCTTAAATTTGTTTACAACAAAATGCATTGATTTTACAAGTTTATGAAATAAATGTGACTGTGAGAGAATTTTAAAGTTGACAATCCCAAGAATATCCTTGCATGAATGAAACATAACAGTTAAAGGGAGATAATCTTAGAAAACATGAACATTTCTCGAATGCCATTCTCCGAAGCTCTAAATGATATACTGAGCTTGCTGAATATACACATACAATAATACATGAATTAATCATAGCTCCATAGATCACGTTAGCTAGGCATATGCTTCAGGCATAGACAAATGACATACAAATTATATCAATATATTTGAAACAACAGTACCAGTTAGGTATATGAAGTATATAATCAAAAGGATTAAATCACAGCAAGCTAATGGGTGCTAAATATCATCAGCGTCATAAACCCACCATGCACTTACAGCCAGTGCTGTACATTTGTATCTACAAAATGTTGACAAACTCTAACACTGCACTTTCTGTTGGTAATTTACAAACAGTGAGTGAGTATGGTTTTACGCTGCTGTTAGCGATATTCCTGCAATATCATCGCGGGGGTAACCAGAAATGGGCTTCACACATTGTACCCATGTCGGGAATCAAACCCGGGTCTTCGGCGTGACGATCGAACGCTTTAACGCCTAGACTACCCCACCACTGGGCCAGACAATCTAGTGATTGATACTGTGAGCAACGATCCACGCTGTCAGGGTACGAAGACACCCAATCCACCCAGTCAGCGAGCCTGACCACAAAATTCATTTCATCCCCTCCTACAACCAGCATAGGCAGCTGGGGATCCATTCTAACCCAGAATCCTTAACTATTGTAGCTGATGTTACTTAGCCCCATGGTTAACATGCTTGTCTAAAGCTACTACCTACACACATGGTGAGTACTACATCTAGAGACTGTGTATCATCAACGTCATGCTTCAGGTGTCCTCATCACACAAATACTTTGGGAAGACGTCACAATACAGAAATAATCCTGCAAAGTGATATCTAAGAAAATCTTTAAAATATCAAAAATGTTACCAAATTTGATTTATTCAAATATGAACATGAATAAAATTCATATTCTGTTAGAAATCAATGTTAAACTAGTCAAATTTTGTTGCAATATGTTACAACCTTCAATAAAACTTTAAATAACCCAGTGTTTCATTTTGGAGTTGTCAAAATGACCTCCATGCACCTGAATTGACGTGAACCTCCACACAGTCTATATGTGAATTCACCTGAGTGAATACATGTACCTGAACACCACCACACGTCAGCGTGTATCTCTAACTCCGCCAGCAGAGGGCGCTAGAACACGGTGCCACCGCACTCAAAACGTGGCTTGTCAAAACGTACACCAAACCAAAACTGCCAAGTTCAGCAGGAAGAATTTTCATGGTAACCTCAAAACTCGGAAAAATATACTCTCTCCTTTTAAAAAAATTCATCTTATCCAATTTGAAAAAGAAGTTGACAGATTTCATAGATTTTCGAGTCTTACAATATGTATGTTGTGACAAGCCTCCCGACCAAATGAAGGTCTCTTAATGCACTGGTTGAATGACGATACAATTACAACGTATCAACTATAAAACATCATCACTTGCATGTTTTTGAAGATAATTTTGATTGTTTTCCAGCCATTCTTCAGTTGTGCACACAGAGATCCCCATCGATCAAGCTTATCTCAGGCAGACGGGCAGAAAGGCCATGGGGAGATAACTCATAGCATACTTGCCTTGCCCTAACATTATTGTACAGGGATTCCTGAGTTCTATGGTCAACAAAGACCAATTTGTTAACTCTGACATGACCACAGAGTTTACGAACACGGGTAACTAAAATCTCTCCTGCATTAACTACACAAATTATACAACACAGTAGGTGGAAATCTCCCTTTCAAAATGGGAAATTGTTTGCAGTTGTCTTCAATCATGATGAATCAATGAACGATTAACTATGACATATGGTAGCCACTGTATCTGGAAACTTTTATGCATATTACTTCTGTTGAAAATCTGAAGATTTTTATAGTGTGATGACAGCCAAAATACAGGATTTATGGCAATGATGTAATAGAGGTTTTGTATTCACGGGAATTATATGTTAGAAGCCATGGATAGCTGAGTTGATTCAAAATAATCTGGTATTTTTTGCAAATACGTTTAAGGCTGTAATATAAGTATGGATTTTTTTTTTTTATCACCTGGCAAGAAGAACTACCAGAATTACGACCATAAAGTTAACCAGCTCCCACAAAGCATCACTGAATTGCAGTAAATATCCTTCATGGATTTCGCTGAGTCAAACAATATGGTAAGGTATCCGTTACCACACAAAATACAGAATTATATCAAATTATCACACAGATCATCATTGTCATTCATTGAATCTGTGAATTCACTGATTGTGTGTTCAGTGATTTCTTAGTGTCTTGTAATTCTGAAGCAATATGTTAAGCCATATCATGTACCACATTCACTACTTAATGGTTAAAATACCTATCAGTCATATTTCAGGATCACAATGAACTCTTGTGAATTTGCATAGTTCCACAACCGCCAGACTTATGAAAACAACAGTCTGTGAAGTATAAGGTATGCCAGACAGATCATTTATTCAACAAGGCCACTTGCCCCATACACAATGTATGTGGAATGCCAGAGCATCTGATAAATGAAACTGTCAAGTATTTGTAACAGCAATAGTAAATATGTGGCAATAAGAAGCCAACCCTATCTGATCTTAAGATGTAGGTTTTAATCTGCACTACATGAGTTACCTCCCCTTGTCTGGGCTGAGATGAGAGAAGGAAGGTAGAAGTTCGACGATAAAACTAGAAAAAACCTACTGCCAGCTGGGGGGACGACTTGATCAAGAAGTTTAGGACTTGTCCTCTTCCATATTTTTTTAATAACAGCTCTGAGCTCTTCATTGGCCGTGTCGATGTTGCCCTCCACTTTGATCTTCAGCGACGTCCGCACCAGTGCAAACAGCGTCGCGTTGAACATCACCGTACCATCACTGTTCAATGGCATGTTCATGCTGACAAGTCTCTACAAACACAACATAGAAAATTTAAGATGAATTTTTTATTAACAGATTATGGATCTCTGTCTTGTGAAGGAAAGCAGAACAATTATATATAAGAAAGCACTATTTTTCCACCAGTAAAATTCAATATCAATACCATACCAAAAAAACCAGGTTGGCAAATGAGTACAGATTTAAATTAAATAGAACTAAAACATGGCAAGGTGTTTTAAATAATACATAGAAGTCTTGGTGGAAAGTGGCAGTTGTGTTTCCTACAGTTAGTCAGTAGTTAAGAGGGGCGGTGGTTAAAGTGTTCACTCGTCACGCTGAAGACCCGGGTTTAATTTCCGACATGAGTACAATGTGTGAAGCCCATTTCTGGTGTCCCCCGCCGTGATATTGCTGGAATATTGCTAAAGCGGCATAAAACCATACTCACTCACTGAGTTAAGATGTCGACTAAACACGCAAAAGACATGGGAGGTGTGTGTCAAGCCCCTGCCATGATGTTACTGGCAAACTGCTCAAAGAAGCATTAAAAGATAATCTTAATGTGTGTGCTCTCTTGCTCTAGTTGGCACACAATAACATACTGCCGACCCATGAAGATCCGGGGTAGAATAGGTCTTTAGCAACCCATGCTTGCCGTAAAAAAGGCAACTATGCTTGTTGTGAGAGGTGACTAACGGGATCGGGTGGTCAGACTTGCTGACTTGGTTGATGCATGTCATCGTATCTCAATTGCATGGATCGATGCTCATGATGTCAATCACTGGATTTTCTGGTCCTCACTAGATTATTTACAGACCGCTGTCATATAGCTGGAATATTGATGAGTGCGGCGTTAAACAACAAACAAACAAACATACAACTGACCTTGCAAGCTACCCTGTGGGGACAAAGTTTGCCGAAGCCCAATGGCGGCGAGATCTTCCTCAGCAGGGTTACAACATCTAAATGTTTGATTCGACCTCTGAAACAACAAAAATAAATTTTAATGATTCTTAAAAATATAATTGAAATTATGAGAAAAACATCAAAAGGAAAAAATTAAAGTTAGTTTAGAAATTTGAAACAAAAATAAAAAATAATTGACATTAAGAGAAAATTATTGAAATTTCGGGAAAATATTCAAACTAAGAGAAAATATTTTATATACCGGTATTACAAATCACAAGAAAAAAATTGAGATTTCAATGTATATTTATAAATAATAAAGAAAACGAGACAATACTTGAAATTATACTACCAAAGTGGCACCATCAGCTTTGTAGCTAAACACATAACATTATGAAGCTTACTTTGCTTCAGGGTCATATTCTGACCAAAGTCGGACAAACTCGTCAAGATGATGCGGACCCAGGATTGACCAATCACGAGTCAGATAGTCAAAGTTGTCCATGATAACAGCCACAAAAAGGTTAATAATCTGAAACATAAAACACATGACAACTCAAATGATAAATAGATGAACTCAGAAGGGAAAACAGGTTATGAATACATGAAACCTTTAATGGATTTCAACTTCTTTAATTCTTTGTCATGTTTCAGAGCTACTTCTTGCTCCTTCGTCAGGTGATGGAGAATAAAAGAAGTTGCTATCCATAAAAAGTGTCATGTATTCATGTTCTTCCAACTTCTAAATGCCAATAAGAGATTTCATAATCATGGCAGCCTGAAAATAATCAAGTTTAGGCTAAACCATTGTTTGATAGCATGAGCAATGTGGCTCACTGTGTTACCAGCATACATTCATTCCTTTGTTGTTTAACGCCGCACTCAGCAGTATTCCAACTATATGACGGCGGTCTGTAAATTATCGAGGACCAGACAATCCAGTGATGGACATCATGAACATCGATCCACGCAATTGGGAGACGATGACATGCATCAACCAAGTCAGCGAGCCTGACCACCCGATCCCGTTAGACGCCTCTTAAGACAAGCAGTCGCCTTTTACAGCAAGCATGGGTTGCTGAAGACCTGTTCTAACACGGATCTACACAGGTCCACCAGCATGCACTGACATAGTATCAATAAGGAGGCACACATGTCCACCCAATTCTAACTTTAGTTGCCTGTATCAAGGATGAAACGGTACGGAGGGCCTATGGGACAGAAAACATAGACTTGAGTGATAACTAGGGATGACAAGTGATAACATGATGAGAACCGAAATAAATTACAAAGGCATAATTGCATGTATTTCCATGACAACCCAATCATATATTATTTTTATATATTTTTATTGTTATTTTTAATACTATATTTTATTATAATAAAAATATCATTTCTTAGCCTGAAGGTTAAAATGAATTCAGCTGAGTTAACACTAACCAGAAATGAACAGAGGATGTAGAATGAGATGAAGTAGATAAAAGCGAAGTTGTTTCCGCAAATGCTTTCTTCATGATTCGTGTCGTTGCCCACTCCGAGGTTGGGATCGGCCTGTCTGTCACACCGCACACCTGGTCTGTGCACACAGTCCAGCATAATGTTCTGCCATGCCTCCCCCGTAGCAGATCTGAAACACACCATAGGCACGTTTCCATCTTTGCATCTTCATCTCTCATAAATGGCAATTTATCTTTAGAGGCATAAATACTGACATTGTATAAAATACCTGACCATCAGAGACAGATAGTTTTTGTCTTGGAAAATCAAGTTTTAGAAACAGCACATATCCTGTAGTCCTGTAGTCTGTCTGTTTTCCTTGACACTATGTTAACATGAAATGAGTCATCAGAAATCGGAAATGGAGTTTGGCTTCTTATACCCGACTTTTTGTTTATTGCTTTTTGATGCCTTCAGTTCTGTGAAGAAATAAATAATGCTGTTCACTATTTTTCAATATCCTAAATCATCAAGGCACCAGTTCACCACTAGACTGATCTGTATAGCAAGTTTCGTCCAGAAATAGTCAACAAATTATGGAGTTCTGCTCAGAAACAAGCACTACCCTCATTTTCAGTATAACTCCAACTTGTCAGGAAAAAAAGACAAAATCCCAAATCATCAAAGGCACAGTTCACAACTAGACTGATCTGTATAGCAAGTTTCAATGAGAAATATTCAATGCTTTGGGAGTTCTGCTCCCGAAACGGAAAATGGACAGACAGTCATGCTGATTGCTATATTCCCCTGTTTTTTCAAACAGGAGGATAATAAAAGATATTAACTTATATCCTGAGTGGTATTTGGATGATGACCCCATATAAACAATGATTATTCCACCTACTGAACGATGTGTGATCAACAGTGTACAGAAAATCTGGACTGGCAACTTTTTAACCAAACTGGCTCTTCATTAGTCTTGCCAGATGAATATTGAATATTGAGTCAAGAATTAAGGTAGTTCTCATGTTTCATGCTGTTGTGAAAATAGGAATCTCACTTGAAAGTACTGAAATGCATAATATCTGACAGGTAGGTTTTTTTCATTTTATTGCAGGGATCCGGAAATCGGTCTGTGCGCCGGACTTTTCCAAATTGATTTGAAATAGTGAAAACCAGACATCATAAAATTGGGTCAACATCAGTCACCACTGGCACACTGACCTTCACCCCGATAGGGTGAAACTGTATATTGAGATCTATGTATTTATCAAGTGTTGTAGGCTTTATAACACATCGTTGATCTATCCCTTCAGGGAATTCAGGTGAACGAAAAGGCATAACAAACTTGGTCAATAAAAATATGACATTTCATATAAAACTTCACTAGACATGATGATTTACCATTCCTGCTCTCCAAGGCATTGTTTTATATGCAGAGGTTAAGACTACCATGTGTATTTTCTCGTACACTAAGCTGGAAATACCAATCAGCTGTTCACACGTTCTCGTCACAATCTATATATGTTATGAAAGTGACACTTGAGTTTATTCTTTTTATTCATACATCCAACACCTCAGCTATGAGGTGGGCATGACCAAAATGCAAATGTCCGATTGGCAAAAAAATATTTCCGGATCTCTGTTTTATTGTATATCTACCAGTTGAAGAACCATTGGAGGTAGTGGGGAAACCTAGTGGTTAAAACAGGCACTCGTCATGCTGAACGTCCCGGTTCAATTCCCCACATGGGTACAAATTGAGAAGCTCTTTTCTGGAGTCCTCCGTCATGATATTGGTAAATATAATGCTTAAATCTCCGTAAAACCATACTCACTCACTCACTCATGGTGAGTGAAACAAACATGACACTTGAGTGGATGACATGCTTACCTGAAGAGCACCAGCACTGCATGCGGAAATGTCTGGAAGTTATTGTTCCTGTGGATTTCTGTATCATCATCTAGTCGTATCTTACCGAACACCTACAACAACATGGAGGGCAGTGTCATCAAGCATGTGTTATACAAATACTCTTGACGAGGTCAATATCCGAAAACAAGGACGGAAGGACATGACCCTTCGGTGGTCTGACCAGGCCGAGGCCTTGTTTTCATATATTGACCTCGTCAAGAGTAATCATTCGTTTCTTATCACAAAATTCACATTAATGTTTATGAAATCTTTAAACCGTCCCGTTTCATTACAGTAACTTAGCTGCGAACCGTGCAATGTTTGTACCAGACAACATCTTGTTTTCTAGCAGGCGAGTCAATACTCATCACATGACAGGTCAATACTGATCATGTGATGAGTCAATTTTTCGAGGTCAGTGTCAGTCACATGATTTCGGGGTCTACATAGATATGTATTATTTCGTCACGTGGTACGGATTAACCAATGAAATAGCAGGATTCTTAATAGTGGTTAAACAAATCACTATGTCTGGCTCCCTGAGACGTCAAAAGATGGTGTTTTTTGTTACCCTTCGCTCGTCCTTTAGGGGGTAAAACAAGGACTGGTCTACACTGAGTCAGTATACTGTGTGTGAGTGGTGTATCCATGTTAAACTGTGGCATGGTACGTCAGTGGGCCAGCACTGTTAAAGGGGAAGTGTACATGCAAAAATCACTTTTTATCTTTTTCTAAACAAAACGAAATTTTAGAATTAATTAGTATCTGTGTTTGAAAATATACTCTCATTTTTTTCACAGTGAAAGTAGGAAGGTCACAATGGTGTGAAAATGATATGCCGTTATGAGGCCTTCGTTTTTCGAGCTAAACAGGCCTGAGTTATCCCCCTTAGATTATGACGTAATTGGTGCCAATTCAACTGGGTCCCTGTCTATTCTCAACGCAAAAGATATCAAGTACCAGTTTGCGGTAAAACAACATGGCCTACGACACATTCCGGCGCAGTGGTGACTCAGCATAACACTATGCTGGCTGGCATCTGAGACGCTAGAATCACACACCTGTACCTACACCACGTGAAGCGGCTCTAACAAAGCATGATGACGTCATAATGTTTATCAATTGGCACCAATGACGTCATATTGCAAGGGGCATAAGCGATGGTGTTTTTGTTGTGGAAATAGAACACTTGGTAAATGCGAAAAATATGTTAATAAATTGTGATATTTTTATATTTTTGTCTATGACACTTCTAGGTTAACACTTTTAATGTGGAAAAAGTACAAGAAAAATAGGTTCATTTCCGTGTGAACTTGCCCTTTAAGCCGGCATCAGTCCGGACTGGTACAAACAGCCACATACACATGCATGCACAAGCGCAAAAAAACTGATCATGACGTTAAACCCCATTTGACCTCCCCTCACTTCACCATTATCTCAATATAAGCATGTCTCCAAAACTAGGACCAGGAACATCACATATATTTACAAAGTTAAGAGCTATAACATTTCTGAGTCCCGTGATGGGATTCGAACCACCGACCTTCTGATCTGAGGTTGGATGCCTTGTCCCCATGACGAAGGACGTTACCTGTTAAGGTAAGGATGCCATCTGTGGGATGACTCCATGCCCCGCTACAATATCAACACTGAATACAATACAAAATGTGGTGTATCTGTATGGTTTACCTGCATTCCAATTACTGCATAGATAAAAAACAGCATCACGATAAGTAACGCTACATATGGAAGAGCCTGGAATGAAAAGAAACCGGTATCATCAATAAGGCCATAACAAAACACAATACAACAATAAGTTACTTGTCAAAAATATTCTAAAAAACTCATTATGGCTAAAATAGGCATTTGCCATATCCCAATAAATATTGCTCAATGTATGATATAAGGTTAAACAATCTTGAGGATGGATAAACAGAAATTGTTTATGTTTATCCTCGTGTTATGGGTTTTCAAGTTTCAAGCCCCTAAAAGATGGTTCTGATTACGTTTCTAATGACCATCCCAATACACTAAAATTAAGTCTCACCTTTGAGAACATTTATTTCTGTTAACACTTGGATGGTCAAATGACCGTATCGTTTTAATTTTAGAGTGATAATGCCTTGCTGAGAGAGGAGAGTCCACCAGGTGCCATCTTGTTGGCGTCACATGGTTTCGAGCCCCTCCATCAGTCAAGTTAATAACAGATGCACATAATAATCAGTCACAGTATTGAGGTATGTTTTTCATGACTTATTGAATATCTTACCTTGTGTAGCTTAATTCATAACCTAACTTCAGCGACAAGTACCCAACACTTTGATGTCTCCAGTGGGCTTTGAAACATCTACCTTGATTACGTTATTAAGCATGAGGTTATGTATTGCTTAGGGACTCGAAAAGAGGTCAGGCCCGAAGACATGTGACATGGGCATATATGAAAGAAATTATTTATCCAACCATGTAACTAAAACATTATGATCAAAACATAGAAAATATCCTTTTCCCCAAAACCAATTTATTCACGATGAGAAAATCCGTCCAATCACATAAAACAACATATTTAAGGCTGACCGCTATAATAAGTAAAGCATGTCCTAACAGTGGCAGGTGCTACAAGGAGGGCAGGACATGCTGCCTGCTGGCCAACACCTGGTGTTCAATCATATAATTTTCTCAGCTTCTTTGCCTTTTGCACCAAATAGAATCTGCTTCGATGGATGATGGAGACTAGGTGTTCTCTGGCGTTGACTTCTGACATTATTTTAACCTACCTGGAATGATTTTATGAACGTCCAGAGGAGTGTTCGGATGCCTTCTCCTCGACTCAGCAGCTTCACAAGCCTCATCACTCGGAAAAGACGAAAGAAGTTGATACTGATGATCGTCTTGCCAGGCTGCAAAAAATCAACTCCATGTCACCCACTATGACTTCAAATCTACAGTCGTAGTCCTACTGCGTGTCTTGTTGAAATCTCTGTGACCTTCCAATACACCTTCTTTGCTGGATTGGAATTATCACTTGTCCCACCACTTACTGATCATATTATATCCTTCACACATCCATTTTTAACTCTTTTTGCTAAAACATCGCATTATTTGGATGTTTCAATTTCTATCTTTAAAAGGTGTAAAAATATTATTTTAGAACCTTATTGAAGTATGAATAATTGATCTTCAACATACATATGTAGCTGTTGCTGTCTGTGTGTTATTTCTGACCAAATTATGCTTTTGAATTATCTGAGTAATTATCAGTGTAATATTATTTATTCCATTTATTGTGAGTCACAAAGAGTTGACAAATGCTTGTGAAAAAGGAATCTGAGAAAAGTGATTCAGTAGCTTGTTTCGACTCTGTGAATTTTGAAATTTATGTGAAAGAGTTCGGTGTTACATAAAGTGTGTGAAACTTAGAGACAACTTGTTTGAACCTCACATAAACTTACCAGGGTAGGTTGAAATTATTTGGCGAAACTGCCTCCTCCTTAATCCACTTATGTTAAGAATTCAAATAAATCTCCAAAACGAGTATACCTCTTTCAAAAGAACCCACTGTTCATTGGATAAATCCCATTTTGAAATGACAAAGCATCAAACGAATTCATAACTTTGAAACATAATTGTGTGATTAATGATAGTGTAAGCATTCATTGTCATTCAGGAAAGAACTGATGATAAAGTGGGCACACAGAACTTGTTCGTATTATAGAAATGTGTGGAATGGTCATGCTGAGGATAAACAAAGTCTGCTGATTCAGAGAGAGAAGATACAGAGGCAGTCCGCCCGACCTCCAGCCGCTGAGTCCAGGCCAGACGCTTACCTCACATCAAATCAATCAAATTATGATGTGAATAGCATGCAATGCTACATAATGCAAAGTATCACATTTAAAGTAAGATCGAAAGACCTGGAGAAATTGACAATTGACATCAGCTGCAAAAATTGAACCCATCCCTCAGAGTTAAATTCCAAAAGTTAAAATGTGTCTTTGAAATAGAATGATACAAATCTGCTATTTTTAACATGTTTGAATTGCATTACACATGACACTGGTATCTGAATAAACATGTCACTCATATCCATATACATTAGTGCCTTTATTTTCGCTAATTGTTTTCCTTAAATCAGCTAATTTGTGTTTGTGGTGTGTTTATGAATGAGAGATGGGCACAGTTTATGCATCTCATAGATAAATAGACTTACCACATACCGGCAGACGTCGCCTGTTACATTACACTCACGTTGATACTAGTCAATGAAAAGAAGTGCCAAAAGGCTATGTAGCTCACCTGATTTTATCATTAGTATCCAACAGAAATGTAGTGCAGATACAGAACTGAGGACAATCAGGACTCGATAACTGGGTATCCTGACTTTGACACAACAAATCAGATCCAATTTTGGAAATTAATCTAAAAAGATTAAGCAATTTTGAAGAGAGTGAATCAATTCACTGACTTTGAGAAGACAGAAATGTAAGTAAAACTGGGCTTATGTGGTCAGTACAAGAGAAATATGCTAAAAAATAGTCTCAAGCTTAATATGACCTTATTTAGCATACAAATTTTTAGTTAGTGGGCATCAATACTACATAACCTTTTCATGATATCAGCCAATATCTGACAACTTTATTAATGGATTCTCGGCACAAATCCAAAACATTTTTAGTCACAAATTTGGACTTTTTAAAGAAGTAGCTCATGAAAATCAAAGATGGCTGCCTGGCAGCCATATTGATTTTACTTATGGTATTCCTCCTGCCCAGCTACCTCTGCATGACATTTCCACAGTTTGATCAGAACTTTACAAGATTAAGACAACACTGGGAACAGATGATGGACAACACACTATGCCATTAGCTCACCTGGACCCGATGGGTCCAGTGAGGGTGAGTTAACAAACAACCCTATGTTATAACCATACTAACATGATCTGGAGAGACAAATGAAATCTACGTGCAATAACATTCAAGTGCAGTGCATTCCACTACGTCATTCCTCATAACCATTCACAAAATATAAAACAACTCATTGTACATGTTCCCAAGGTAAAACAAAAAAAAATAATAAAAAAATACATCCAGACAAATGATGATAACAGTTTGTATTGTTAAACATTCAGTGACAATAAGACGCAACAAAAACAAACATAACATTGTGGTCATTGTCTTGACCAACCAATTACATGAGGATTTTATTAATTGTAATACTTGTCCTGTTAGTTTCTTCAACTACATCATTAGTGAAACAATGGTTTAATCTTACATTTATAACCAACATATTTGTTTTTAAATTAAACAAACTATTTGTTAATTGTTACATCTAGTAATACATGTCTGTTAAATTTCCAAAAAAACACAAACAATAAAATTTTTTATTTGGTTACATAAACGATTCAATAAAGGCTAAATCACAACTTGCTTTGAAATAAAACCAATTCACTTACACACTGAATAGTACTTAACTTCTAAATCTTGTAACTGTGTGGAAACACCTTTTTATTACACGCTTGAAACTTATTCTTCCATGCTTTTTCTTTATCAAGGATTTGTCACAGGATAAATCTCATATCAACTGAGACATTATTTCTGACGGAATAAAAAAAAGTTAGATGTTTATCAATGCTACATACAATTGAACTCCTAACTTTGAAATGAAACTCAAATTTGAACTAAAGCTTTAAATAAGTTTCTACCTGTAGTTAAATGATATTTATGTAATAAATCTTCTTCTTATTGATACTAACATAATCTATAGCCACTCTCTAGCAAGCACAAGCCGTTAGAGACTTTCTTCTACCTATAGCTAAGCTGTTAGCTACGGTAGCTTAGCACTGTAACCTAGTGCAACTGCAGTCCTGTTTCTACGTCATGTGCCGTGGCGACTCTTCTAGGACTATCCCACACTGGGAACCTGGACCTCAGACACTTGGACATGTGACATCACTGTTGGCTTGGACAAATGACACATACCTAACTAAATACAAGTACGGATGAGAACTGATGATCGGCAGATGACACATGAGTACAAAATGCTACAATGTTCACAGTATACGTCCATGCCCAAATGTAGGATGTATCTAAAAACAGAAACTATTGGGAGAAGTCATTTTACACAGCTTAACTCACAAACCATTGACCACAGTGAACGTAAAATTGAAGAGATTTCAGAGTATTCCATCACGAGATATCCCAATTTGCATACACAACCCAAGAGCGGGTGAGACCAGTTCGACAAGGCGCAGTCTTCAGTAAAAAGGGGCATGGCTATTTGTCTCGAAAATGGACACGGAATGTGGCTAATTTGTTTTTTAAAGGGTCGTAGCAAAGTAAAAATAAATATGAGGTCGCTATGTCTCAAAACTGTGTAGCACAGCTGTTTTCGTATTGGGTTGTGATATTTCAAGGAGCCTTTTCCGCTGAGGTCTTAAAACTTGAAAATGTCAGAAGTTCCAGCAAAGGTAGGGATGAAGTCTTGTCATCATTCCAAAGGAGAAGCAGCTTCTCAATGAAAGTTGTTTTGTCAACAGAGTCCAGGCAGAGTTTTGTCCAAGGGGATTGACATGTCCTCGGGTGGGTTACCAGAGGACAGTCAAGTGCAGGAAACTATTTCTGCTGGGTTGGCATTTCTGGAGTGCATTATATATGGGTGGATATCATGTATATTGTGTAGGATGGCTTCAAACATGTGCAGAATTTTCCAATGTGTTCTAAGGGAGCAGTTCCCAAAAGGAGTATCTCATTACAAAGGATCAGCATTAAAGTGATATATATAACAGGTTTGAGTTTGTGAGATTGAGGTTCCAAATGCATGTGAAACTTCCAAGGTTGGTGTTCAAGACAAGAAGTTTCCAAAATGATGATGGCATTTCCAAGGCTTTGCACTGAGTAGTATAACTGGGTTGGTGTTTCTGAAATGGACTTTCCACAATGGGCGTGACGTTTTCAAGGAGAGTGGTCTGTGGTGTTCTGGGAATGGACAATGTCGGGGCTGAAGGTGAGTGCTATTTGAAGGGGGTATGTGTCTCCACGAGAAGTGTTTGGAAAGGATGCTGTATACTTCCAAGATGCTGTATTCCATAGTTTTCCAGGAAGTACATTACTTCTCCAGGAAGGACTCCAAAGCGTTTCCGTCTTGACCTCTGAGCTAACGAGGGTGATTTCCGACTTGTTTCTTGGTTTACAAAGGGGGCTGTTAAGGCAATACTATATCATGAAGGTCTGAACTGTGGTCTGAACCTGTAGCAGGGATATACCGGGCATGCAAAAGCTGTATGAACCAGGCCCTGAGGTTTCAACCAGGAGACAAGGCAGTTCAACTAGCCTTACTATATCAAAGGTATAATTTCCAATAATTTAATCTAAGACACATATCAAAGTATCAACTCCAAAATAAAGATTTTACACATATTTCTGATCAGACAGCTCTGATGGAACCACATTTATCCTTTAAAAAAGAGCTGAGAGTGTTTTATCAATCCTGGTTGTCCACTCGAGTCTCTTCATGCTGGGGGTACTATGGGGGAACATGCAGCAAACAGTCAAGTACTGGTTAAAAGAGGAAATTTGACAAACCTCTGCTCTCTGTTGGTTAGTGAAGAGCAGCGAAAGAATAAAATTTGATTTAAAATCATTCCATGTGAAATGAAAGGTTATAGGTGATAAGGAAATAATATATGAAAATAACAAGGAAACCAAAAAAGAATGTCTTGGGGTAATCACAGTCAATTATTTCATAAGAAAACAAAACAAAAATGAAATAAAACACTTCAGTTTGTAAAATGAGTGAACGAAAAAAAATGGTTCGGCAACCATGAGGATCCCTTGCAGTCATTCTAAGAAACTAAAAACATGTTGCAATGCAGATAAATCTACTCTATGAACTCCTTTCCGTTTCCATGGCAACATTCCCTAGGCATAACCAATCAGCAAGAATCCCTATGCAGGCACCACTCAAACTTTGCACTCAGCAATCCACAAAATGCTGGATACAAATGGATTTGGATCAAATATCAATCAACAGAATATTGACCGACAATCACACCGATTATTCTGTTCACTGTGGAAAAATTCATTTTAAAACATTTAAAAATTAAATATCACCCTACAACCAATTTCTGGAATACAATCATGAATGAAATGAGGTGAAATGATGCTACTGAAACACCTATGTTAAGATCATATATATATATATATATATAAATCACAAGATGTTCAAGTCTACATATCAAATATATATGCTTAAACACACTACCAGTCACAATACCATAGAAATGTAGTTGTTACTTCTAGACATTACTTAAAATACATTTATATTAAATTAGGCCGCCATAGTTAGTACAGTGTGCAAAGGATACATGCCATAGACGTTTCATGTTTCAACACAAAGAGAAAGTCATGTTTCAAGTGCAGTTAGGTTTCAGACACTTCAAATAGGAGTTAAACTACAAGTCATTCCAACAGAGGCTTCAGATGACATACAGTCAAATGCAATCACTCGTGTTTTGGAGCAATCTTGACAAACAGTGCCAGTCTTGTTGAACCACCAGCCAGCAGTCACAGAATAAAGTCAGGTGTGGTTGCTATGGCAACAATACACATGTGCCACGCAGCCAATCAAAACAAGGTAAGGTGAGTGAGTGAGTTTGTTTTTGCGCCATTTTTAGCAATATGCCAGCAATATCACGGCGGAGGACACCAGAAATGGGCTTCACACATTGTACCCATGTCGGGAATCGAACCCAGGTCTTCGGCGCCCCTCAAGGTAAGGATAATTTCTCCATCTACATCTCCCTTGTTCCACAAGACTTCTTGCTCATGGTAAATAGCGAATTCCGCACGAGTGTCTTTTGATATCAAATATATCAACACAAGGCGGCAAAGCATTAAAACTCTGAGGCTTCACGAGGAGTTTTAAACTTTTATCGATGAGTGTTGATATATTTGATATCCAAAGACACAAGGGTGAGATATAATCCAAAATCATTCTTTCAAATTTTTCAGTTTGTAAACTGTGTAAATGTAAATATACAGCTAACCAGCGACAATGGCAGAGATATTAGTGAGGTCATTTGATCTCAACGAAGTGTTATCTCCTGTGTAAACCAGCCTTGGATGATAATTTCATTGTGTCAATACCATTCTCTGACATATAAACAGTATCATTCCCCAACATGGGTAGAATGGGTGCAGCCTGACCTTGGGTGTCCTCTGACATGATATTTGCAGGAATATTGCAAAATGGGTCATGAAATCTAACTAATTCACTCAATTTTTGTTGTTTTATACCACGCACACATATTACAGCTATATGATGGCGGTCTGTGAATATTCAAGTCTGGAAGAGTCCACAATCTGATTTCTGATTCATCTTGAACCTGACTGGCATCCTTGGCCTGGGTTCAACTGCCCCATAACAAACACACCCACGCCTGCATCACCAACTGTGGCCAGGTTCAACCACACTGACACAAAACTAATCTCAAGAAATATTGGCCACTCATTCCAACATGGCATCATGCTTAGTCATTCCAAAGTCAGAAGATGGAACTCAATAATCAGAAGCCATTGTGTAAAAAAATCATGCACTCGTCTGGGTTGATCTCACTTTCTCTTTCCTGAACAAACACATCCAGAAGAGAAAGTCAACAATGGAGAGGAAGCAAACGGGACTACTTACATTCACTTCAGTGTATATGATGTCAATAAAGCTACCGAGTACAATGATGAAGTCAAACACATTCCAAGCATCTCCAAAATAATTCTGAAAAAGTAGGTATAAATATAGTGGACATCAGTAAAATTGTCATTTTTCATGGAATTTGTTAAATTGCGACAATAAAATGCTTTAATATATATTTACAATTTGAGATCACGATATCAGAATATGAAATGGTAACAACAACATGATCTGATAATCATCATATGCCATTATAACTGATATGACATAATTATCACATGACATGATAACCACCATATGACAGAAAATGAGTATCACCATATGACATGACAATCACCATATGATATGACATGGATACTGAGATACATTACCTTGTACTGGAAGCAGATACTTTGAGAAGGAATGCTGGTGCCAAGGTCATATTTACACATGATAATTGCCATATGATATGACATGATAATCATGACAAATGACATGACACGATAATCACCAAATGACATTTCGATCATGATATGACGTATGATAATCACAAAATGGCATATCAATCATGATATGACATGATTCAATCACCAAATGGCATTTGAATCATGATTTGACTTGATAAATCCTTAAATGACGTTTCAATCATCATATAACATGGTAATCACCAAATGGCATTTGAATCATGACATCAGACATAATAATCACCAAATGGTATTTTAGTCATGATATGACAAGATAATCACCAAAGGATATTTCAGTCATGATATGACAAGATAATCACTAAATGGCATTTCAGTCATGATATGACAAGATAATCACCAAAGGATATTTCAGTCATGATATGACAAGATAATCACTAAATGGCATTTCAGTCATGATATGACAAGATAATCACTAAATGGCATTTCAGTCATGATATGACAAGATAATCACTAAAGGATATTTCAGTCATGATATGACAAGATAATCACTAAATGGCATTTCAGTCATGATATGACAAGATAATCACCAAAGGATATTTCAGTCATGATATGACAAGATAATCACTAAATGGCATTTCAGTCATGATATGACAAGATAATCACTAAATGGCATTTCAGTCATGATATGACAAGATAATCACTAAAGGATATTTCAGTCATGATATGACAAGATAATCACTAAATGGCATTTCAGTCATGATGTGACAAGATAATCACCAAATGATATTTCAGTCATGATATGACAAGATAATCACCAAATGATATTTCAGTCATGATATGACAAGATAATCACCAAATGGCATTTCAATCATGATATGACATGATAATAACCATGACATTTTCATCAATCATGATTTGACATGATAAACCCTTAAATGATATTTCAATCATGACAAGACATGATAATCACCACATGACATGATCATTAACATATGGCATGACAAATAATCACCAAATGACATGACAGGATGATTATGATATGGCATGTCACTGATACTGAACAATTTTACCTTGAACCTGAAGGCTGCTAGTTTGAGGAGGAACTCCACTGTGAATACTCCTGTGAAGATCATGTTGAGATAGTCCAGGGCCTTCACAAACTCCTGAGACTGCTGGTGGTACTGAGGATAATATACATAGGTTATAACACTGCTTATAGTACTCTGAGGGTAATATGAAGGTTATAACACTGCTTATAGTACTCTGAGGGTAATATGAAGGTTATAACACTGCTCGTAGTACTCTGAGGGTAATATGAAGGGTTATAACACTGCTCGTAGTACTCTGAGGGTAATATGAAGGTTATAACACTGCTTATAGTACTCTGAGGGTAATATGAAGGTTATAACACTGCTTATAGTACTCTGAGGGTAATATGAAGGTTATAACACTGCTCGTAGTACTCTGAGGGTAATATGAAGGTTATAACACTGCTTATAGTACTCTGAGGGTAATATGAAGGTTATAACACTGCTTGTAGTACTCTGAGGGTAATATGAAGGTTATAACACTGCTTATAGTACTCTGAGGGTAATATGAAGGTTATAACACTACTCGTAGTACTCTGAGGGTAATATGAAGGTAATAACACTGCTTATAGTACTCTGAGGGTAATATGAAGGTTATAACACTGCTTGTAGTACTCTGAGGGTAATATGAAGGTTATAACACTGCTTATAGTACTCTGAGGGTAATATGAAGGATATAACACTGCTTATAGTACTCTGAGGGTAATATGAAGGTTATAACACTGCTCGTGGTACTCTGAGGGTAATATGAAGGATATAACACTGCTTGTAGTACTGTGAGGGTAAAATGTAGGTTATAACACTGCTCGTAGTACTCTTAGGGTAATATGAAGGTTATAACACTGCTCGTAGTACTCTGAGGGTAATATGAAGGTTATAACACTGCTCGTAGTACTCTTAGGGTAATATGAAGGTTATAACACTGCTCGTAGTACTCTTAGGGTAATATGAAGGATATAACACTGCTTATAGTACTCTGAGGGTAATATACATAGGTTATAACACTGCTTATAGTACTCTGAGGGTAATATGAAGGTTATAACACTGCTCGTAGTACTGTGAGGGTAAAATGAAGGATATACACTGCTTGTAGTACTCTGAGGGTAATATAAAGGTTATAACACTGCTGGTAGTACTCTGAGGGTAATATGAAGGATATAACACTCCTGGTAGTACTTTGAGGGTAATATAAAGGTTATAAGACTGCTGGTAGTACTATGAGGGCAATATGAAGGATATAACACTGCCGGTGTTACTGTGAGGGTAATATGTGGGTTACAACACTGCTAGTGGTACTGTGCAGGCAATATAAAGGTTATAACACTGCTGGTGGTACTGTGGGGGTAATATGAGGGTTATAACACTGCTGGTAGTACTGTGAAAGGTAATATGAAGGTTATATTACTGCTTGCAGTAATGTGAAGGTAATATGAGGTTAATATATATCGTCTGAGGGTTAAACTTAATGGTCTATACATTGCTGTCATAATAATTAGTCACATACTTACTTTCATGGCTAGTGTGACAGTGTTGATCATAATTAGGGCGAAGATGCCGTACTCAAAGGCCTTCGATGTGACAAACCACCAGATTTTGTACTGCCATCTTGCCTTGGGTATGTAGCGCCGCATGGGCTTCGCTTTTAGGGCAAACTCTATACATTTGCGCTACAATGACAAACATATACACATATACAGCTCAGTTCATGAAGTCATGTGTTGTGTAAGAAGTTCTATACAAGATCCGTCCGTTGGTATTTCATATTTAAACGATGAGACTGACAAATATATAGCAAAAGTAATATTTTGGCGAGTAAATCTGCTGTGTTAAATCAAATGCATGCCTAGCCTTTAGAAAAAACTTCACATTAGCATCCTGTATATAAAATTATAACAATTAATTTGATATGGCTGACATAATTAATAGGTAAATCTGGCTGAGGATTAATTGGAGAGCAAAATAATATTCTAATAACAGCCGATTATTTCTAATTTTGAAAGCGCCTTTGGTGAAAGGGGGCTTATTTCGTCGAATACGGTATACCCGAAATGGTGTCTGTTTCCGTGGAAGATCAGGGCTGTTTGTTCTCTGGTATTCATATTATATTTGTTAAATCAATCTTTTTGAAAAGTTTAACCCTAAATCTTAATGATTGATAATAATGAATGATTAAATAATTTCTTTTGATAAAAATCAAACCTGATTTTTGTCCAACTCGCAGTTTTTGTATTCCTGTTCTCCTTCATTCTGGAAGGTGACAATGACAAAACCAACGAAGATGTTGACCATGAAGAACGCGATGACAATGATGAAGATGAAGTAGAAGATGGCCACCATTGGCCGGTTACTATGTATAGGACCACGAGACTCTTCATTGGAATCTATGGACTTGTACAGCAGGCTGAAACACAGACACACATCATGAGCTTTGGTCCACTAGAACCGTGTTAACATGCAAGGACATATGAGTGAGTGAGTGTGGTTTTACGCCGCTTTTAGCAATATTCCAGCAATATCACGGCGGGGGACACCAGAAATGGGCTTCACACATTGTACCTGTGTCGGAAATCGAACTCGGGTGTTCGGCGTGATTAGCAAACGCTTTAACCACTAGGCTTCCCCACCGCCCCACACATCATGAGCTTTGGTCCACTAGAACCGTGTAAACATGCAAGGACATATGAGTGAGTGAGAATGGATTTACGCCGCTTTTAGCAATATTCCAGCAATATCACAGCGGGGGACACCAGAAATGGGCTTCACACATTGTACCTGTGTCGGAAATCGAACCCGGGTGTTCGGCGTGATGAGCAAACGCTTTAACCACTGGGCTACCCCACCGCCCCGCAAGAAGATATGACAAGCAGGTATGTCTTGTCTGTACGATGTGCGACAATGTACAATAGGAAACCATATCTGTGACCCACCAGGAGAAAAGGGACCTTATAAAGAAAGACGTTGGACATCAACTTACTTACCATGGCCTGTACAAAATTGTCCTATTTTTCTCTTGTTGGTTTGTAATGTAATAAAACCATTTCAAACCATTTTAAATATACTTTTTATACTACTGCTCATTTGCTGTTAATTTGGGTGAGAGCAATTCTATATAACAAACACATGCTGTTTGTTTTCATTCAATATGAAGGACTAATGAATGCTAATGTTGTGCATGAAATGACATATAGATAGCTCTACCGCTATACGAGTATGGCCATCCAGGGACAACATGAGTTATGTCCCTTGTAACAATAAACTTCCTCTTGAACCCGCCGCGGATGTGTTTGGTTGTGTTTGGTTGTCTCTCCATGGTTCAACCCCTGCGACACTATTTACATTTAGTCCTGTCTACTTGTTTGAAGCAGACAGGTGCCCAGTGAAAATCCAGGTCAGAAGAGGTCTTCAGCAACCCATGCTTGCTGTAAAAGGCGACTATGCTTGTCATAAGAGGCGACTAACGGGATCAGGTGGTCAGGCTCGCTGACTTGGTTGATGAATGTCATCGTATCCCAATTGTGTGGATTGATGCTCATGATGTCAATCACTGTATTGCCTGGTCCAGACTCAATTATTTACAGACCGCCATCCTATAGCTGAAACATTGCTGAGTGCAGCATTAAACAAACAAACAAACAAACAAACAGGATCCCAGTCAATCCCCGTTAACCCCGTTACACTTACTCTGGCCATCCTTCAAATGTGGACACAGTGAACAGCGTAAGTAGGGCTTGGCTGACATCATCAAAGTTGAAGTTGTTCTCCTCCCAAACACGTTTTTCCACAACCGGAGAATGAAAATCTCCTTCTCTAAAGTCGATATACGAACCCCTGAAACACAAGAAATACCAGCCGATCATTGGTGTTCTCTGACATGATATGGTCTGAAGAATGCTTTTTTGCTAAAAGTGGCGAAAAACCTCATTCGATCACCATTGTACTTCTGTTCATCTGTGTCATAGAATTACTATAAAAATGTAACATGAATGAATGTTTTTCATGAGGTTTCAGAACTAGTAAAAAGCAATCTTCAAGGCTTTCTCCAAGACACTTACTGGCAGTCAGCTTCGGTCAGTTTGGACTCATCAGAACAGCTGAAGAATTTACCCTGCAAAAATCATGTGTGTACCATTATACAACGTGTATTGAAAACTCTTACAAAACTCACTTACAATTCAACCTTATGGTCCCTGCAGCAGAAAATGAGGAAATGTCCACATGTGTCTAAAACTACAGATGATTTGACATATCATTCATATTAAATGAAAATTAAAGTCAAGTCTACACTTTTGATAAAAATCATTTGGCAAGAGTGGAAAAACTTTCTATTAATAGCAAAAGATGACTGATATGACAATATACAATATGTGTGTCATGTAATAAATAATAAATCATCAAAAATCAAACATAGGTATTATGTAAACATATATATTGCCAAGGCTGACACATAGTACAACTACGAGGGATTCCAGGTTAGAATAGGTCACCAGCAGCCGATACCGGTTGGAAGAGGCAGCCAAATGGATTGGGTGGTCACTTGGGCGTCCTCAGACGCCAATGGCGTGGATCATTACTCATAATAACAGTCACTGGATCGTCTGGTCCAGACCCGATTATATACAGCTGGAATAATGCTTAGTGTGACGTTAAACAACAAAGAAACAAGATTGGATCTTCTACCTTGAAGAGTTGCACTCCAATGACAGCAAACATGAACTGCAGTAGGAAGGTGACCAACATGATGTTGTAGATGGTTTTGATAGCCACGATTACACACTGCACTACATGCTGCAAACAAACATCATGGGTTACAATCACAGGCCAGAAATGACAACAGATAAAAATATATCTAATTTCAAAGAATAAAAAATCTTTAATGTAAAAACAAAAATCCTTTGATTCCAGCTCCAATCTCATTAAAATCAGATCTTAGTTCTCGCTACAGCTAAACAAAGATCTGAGGACATCCCATTTGGGGTCACGTCAGAACGACCTTTCATCCGACCAATCAGAGCGTCGCTTACCAGATCATGAAAGTGACAGACAGAATGTGATTTCTAATCATGCAACCTCAAAAACTTTAACACGGGGTATTCTGAACGATAGTTACGGGCCTAACGACTGAATCCATACAATCTACACCTACTATTAGCCATTCCAGAATGAACTTTTGATCAGGTTTCAAATTTTTAATTTCGAGGCGTAGTTGCCAATTCAAAATTAGTGCCGTAAAGCATCAGAAAACTGCCTTCTGATTGGCTAATGTCGACTTCTTGTCAGTCATTCCACTGGTCGGTCACAGTTCGCGCAAGGTCGTGACGTGACCCGTAATGGGATGTCCTCAGATCTTTTTTTAGAGGTAGCGAGAACTAAGATCTGATTTGAATGAGATTCTTCCAGCTCCTACTTTTGTTTCCCATTGATTTGTTTCTCCTTGTTGATCTGTAGAAATGATTCCTATTCAGGAACCGATTTTGTAAAAGAGGACTAAGTTGTCCTAGCAAATTTGATCCAAACCTCTTTAACAAATTTAAGTCAAACTATCACTCATTGTTTAGTTGATAACTATTTCCTTTTGTGTAGTTTGTATACATATCACTGTCTTTTGTGTTTAATTATAGAATCATGATAAGTTCATTTGTAATATGCAACAGTATATAAATAAATATATTGAAAACAAAATTGATTAAAGTCCCTCAAATGACACTTTGTTTGCCTGCTACTTCAATTTTAAGATATATACTACTCACAAAAAGTAAAGGACCGCCCGGTACTACTCTAGTTAACCTGTCATGCCATGACAAAAACCTGGATCCCTAACAGTTACCTTGAGACCCTTGGCTCTGTTGATAGCTCTCAGTGGACGTAACACTCGCAACACCCTCAAGATCTTCACGACTGAGATGGCTTGATTGCTGAAACACACAAGGTCAAGGTCAACGATACAGGAACGGAAACATTCGGAGATGGAACGTGTTGAACCTCACTTGGTGTCTTCTCAAACACAAGAAACAAAAATCACACTTTTTGTTCTTTCAAAGCATAAGCATGACAATTCTAGAACCTTGTGGTACCTTCTACTAAATTAATGCTATTCGTATATTAAATCATCAACATTTTTTAATAAAAAAACTCCAAAATCATACATAATAGATATCCATTAAAACAACCATAAAAGTAACTTTGGAAGCTAGTTGTTCCCATTGGTATATTGTATTGAGGTGTTTTACAAGGAGCATACTACTGATCACAGTTCCCAGGAATTAGTTCTTCTCCTTGGCAGTGCTTAGGCCATTACTATCTTAATTGTTGGAAAGCCGATGCGCCAACCCTATTTTCTTCAAAATTGGACAAATTATCCAAATTTACACTTATATGTTTTCCACCTACACATCATACACAAAAAATTATTTTGACATTATTCACATTTATAAATCTTAAATAATATTAAATCTCCTGTTAAAAGTTGATAAAAGCATGAAATCCCTGCCGCCAAACCTCTGACAACTGCATCTTCCTCAATCAAGGGCTCATATTTGGAACCACAGGGTATTTACTCACAAGTCACTCATATTGTCTTACTAATTCTGTTTAAATACTGTTTCAGGTGCCTCATAACCTGTATCTGTTACTGTCCTGCCCCAGGTGGGTATTGTTGCATGAAGTCACAACAGCGATAGACATGTCGAATTAACAATTAGCGAGACATAGCGTCTTGTTTATGCAAATATTCACAGCAGTAGACTAGAGTTCAAGTGCGATGCCTCCAATTGATCAGTAAATATAGATTTGCATAGAAAGGTACGCAAGTTGAAAGGCTATATTGGGTAATTACGCATAGTGATGTTATACTACTAGGTTTGTAAAAAATTTCATGCCTATTTGTATGCAAGCAACTCATAATTAAATGGGTGATGGTGATCTCTTTTGTGTATTTTACACAAATACAAAGTTTATCTGGACCTTTGTCAGTCAATACAGTCAAGGCTGTACGCTGGGAGCTACACACACGACATGCTTCCTTGTTGCCATGCAGATTACAGCAGAGTGAAGATACCTTGGTTTTGAATGGTATACATATAACGAGATCTGATATAAACAATTGATGATCATGCAAGCCATTATGTGATGTGGAGGAGTATATTCATGCAATTCGTGTGAACCAAATTTCATTCTCACATCCTTGGCCTCCATATATTGATATGATGACACACATGCACAGTAGTGTTAAATTAACTGACATTTTCAAATGCAAAACTGCAAGGAGATGGTTATGAAACTTGAGGCAAATTATCAAATTAATTACTGCAACTGTACCCTGTATTTTCGTAAAATATTATATGGTATACTGACAGAAGCTATGTAATGCAAGACTGGGACGGGTAACCAGTGGTTGATAGCATGAGCAAAGATCCACACTGTCAGGGTTCAATTGCACTCAATCACGCTTTCTTACCACAAGAACATCTCTGAGGTTCCAGAAGACTCCAGGAGATGCACATGGTGCTTAGACCTATTCTCAACTAGAGGTTCCAGAAGTCTCCAGGAGATGCACATGGTGCTGAGATCTATTCTCAACTAGAGGTTCCAGGAGTCTCCAGGAGATGCACATGGTGCTGAGACCTTATCTCATCTGGAGGTTCCAGAAGACTCCAGGAGATGCTCATGGTGCTGAGATCTATTCTCAACTAGAGGTTCCAGAAGTCTCCAGGAGATGCACATGGTGCTGAGACCTATTCTCATCTAGAGGTTCCAGAAGACTCCAGGGAAGCACATGATGCTGAGACCTATTTCAACTAGAGGTTCCAGAAGACTCCAGGAGATGCACATGGTGCTGAGATCTATTCTCAACTAGAGGTTCCAGAGTCTCCAGGAGATGCACATGGTGCTGAGACCTTATCTCATCTGGAGGTTCCAGAAGACTCCAGGAGATGCACATGGTGCTGAGACCTTATCTCATCTGGAGGTTCCAGAAGACTCCAGGAGATGCACATGGTGCTGAGATCTATTCTCAACTAGAGGTTCCAGAAGACTCCAGGAGATGCACATGGTGCTGAGATCTATTCTCAACTAGAGGTTCCAGAAGACTCCAGGAGATGCACATGGTGCTGAGACCTATTCTCATCTAGAGGTTCCAGAAGACTCCAGGAGATGCTCATGGTGCTGAGACCTATTCTCATCTAGAGGTTCCAGAAGACTCCAGGAGATGCACATGGTGCTGAGACCTATTCTCATCTAGAGGTTCCAGAAGACTCCAGGAGATGCACATGGTGCTGAGACCTTATCTCATCTGGAGGTTCCAGAAGACTCCAGGAGATGCAAACGGTGCTGAGACCTATTCTCATCTAGAGGTTCCAGAAGACTCCAGGAGATGCAAACGGTGCTGAGACCTATTCTCAACTAGAGGTTCCAGGAGCCCAATTTTTGTAAGACAAATTGTATAAATATACATAAATCAATAATGTGACATTAATATAAGATGCTATATGCAAGAGATCTACATGCAAGATGTCCGAAGGCAGATAGACAATGGATGAATGGCAAGCCACTATGTTCAGGAAGTGTATTCAGACAACAAGTTTCATTGCTTGGATTTCCAAGTACCTTCTATGTTATTTCAGTGCAGTAATCTTTCTCATGAAAACAGTTTTTGCAATACAGTAATACTCTTATAGTTCCCCATAGGAGAGTGAGTGTGTTTAGTTTAATACCACTTCGAACAGTATTTTAGTTCTAACAGCGTGTTAATTTGATGTGGGATTTGATCAATTGTTTGTCGTTTAATGGTGCACTCAGCAATATTCCAGCTATATGACTGCGGTCTGTAAATAATCCAAGTCTGGGTCAGAAAATCCAGTGATTGACATCATAAGCATTGATACACATAGTTGGATATAATGACATGCATCAACCAAGTCAGTGAGCCTGACCACCTGACCGCCTCTTATGACAAGTATGGTTGCCTCTTGCGGCAAGTATCGGTTGCTGAAGATCAACTCTAACCGGATTTTCACGCTGGAGGGGAGCAGGTCTTGGATGTTTACCACTTTGGTGACAAACCTACAACCATGATCATGCAGGGATTCAAACCCATTATTATTTGGTGCTGGCACGCCTGAGGGATGCAAGTCTGTTCAGCGAATTAGCACCTTAGTTGTTTGGGCCACCATAAGACAGAGCATGGAAATAGTCATTCTGAGAGATTATGTGAGGAAATCTACATAATATTTCTCATCTAGAAGAGTCAATTGAGTTGGATATTGCTCCACATTTCGGAGGGAAACTTGGACCATCTGTGACAAGCAAACACACTCTCCATTAGGCTACCCTACTGCCTCATGTTTAAAGGCACATGACAAAGTCATATTACACTAGGTCATGCTGAAGAATTGACTATCCTAGTTTTCAGAGGAATTATAAATGAAAAATAACCTAACACGTTTAGGATCCTGGAAAAGGAAAAGTACATGAGGTTCAGGGGATTCTAATTCATAATCAACAGAAAATTAGAACTGTATTTAATGACAGAGATTCTGTTTCAGCTGGCATCAACTTTACATTTCTTTAAATAAATAAATAAATAAATAAATAAATAAATAAATAAATAGATTAATAAATTAATAAATAAAGAAATGAAATGAAATGAAATGAAATGAAATGAAATTAGATAGATAGATAGATAGATAGATAGATAGATAGATAGATAGATAGATAGATAGATAGATAGATAAATAAATAAATTCAACATAGGAACTGATGTCCAGATCTAATTTAAGTATGAATAGAGTGTGCAGGGATCAAAACATAATAGCTGGTTATTAGTATTCCAGCTATATGATGGTGGCCTGGTGGCCTGTGGTCTGGAAAAACCAGTGACAAACCAGTGACAAACCAGTGCTTGATGAGCAACATCATTTGGTATGTTGATCAGCTAGCAACCAAATCACTAAGTCCATTCAGACACCTCATACAGGTGACTCAAGAATGACGGATCTAAGGAATGATAGCTTTATACACTTACTTTCAAAAGAGCTACTGAATTAATAAATTCTGTCATATTTTCCTGAAATAATCCTTTCATTGTCAAAACAAATCTCATCTCCAAAATAACCATCAAACATTGGTGAACTTGAATTTTTTTTGTAAAAGATGGTTTCCTTCACACATGAATAATGATGAACTGACACTGTGTTGAGAGACACGTGGACATATAGTTGTCTGTGTGACAGAGAGTACTGAGCTGTGTTGACACATGATTCACTGTGTGAGAATACATTACCTCCAAAACATAGTTCTAGGGTGGACAGTCAGGGAAATGTGGTATTATACATCAAAATAGTCCAGGGTTAGATGAGTCACAATCAACAAGTAACACATGTTAAAAATCGACATGAATAGATCATTTGTGCTGTAGTAAGCTCCTCGGGGGCTTAGGAACTTGACAAAAAGGGCACTTACAAAAACCAGCAAGTTAGCGGAAATGCACAACCTCTCCTTTAAACATTGGGGAATAATGGTTACAAGGCAGTTATAGAGCTCTTCTCCTTCTGTAAATAAGTTATAGGGGCTGTCATGTATGTTCTCAGTCTTTGTAGCCGGCGCTTATACTTACAGACTGGTCTAGAAGTTGGGATGAAGGTCGTTGTTGGAGAAGGGCACTTAATATGTCGAGTGAGTTTGATTTTATGCCACTTTTAGCAATATTCCAGCAATATCCCGGCGGGGGACACCAGAAATGGGCTTCACACATTGTACCCCTGTCGGGAATCGAAACCGGGCCTTCAGCGTGAAGAGCGAACGCTTTAACCACTGGACTACCCCACTGCCCCTCCATCAGTAATCTGAGATGAGTTTAATTTCTGTTTATAACTATGGATCTAGTCTGTGAGTTCTGGTGCTAATATTCACGCTGGCAACTCTCCCAACAGTCAACAGTAGTTACACATCACCTAACAATTCGATACTTGACCTCCAGCCAGCCCACCATGGCAGCTAATATCCATGTCACACAATACTAAACCAGCAAGGTACACATCAATACACTCCTTTCTCATGAACATGTTGCATCCATAAAATTTCTGATTCCTGTGACAGGATCAAACCACAGACCTTCTGACCCAAGGTTGGACACCTTGTCCACATGACCAAGGTTAACCAAGTCAGGAAGCTGACAAGGTAAGGATGTCATAGATCTGCGGGATGATTCCATGCCCTGCCACAAACCCAAGCTGCATATGCAGACCCAGAGAGCAGGTGCAGAGCTGTGCACCTTTTTTTAACTGGAACTTGTACAGGCACCTAGATTTACAAAGTGTACAGGTACAAGACCATAAATATCTCAATTTGTGATAAAATGAGTACCAAATGCATGGTGCTTCCAAGATTATTTACACATACCCATCGCCTGTATTTAAACATTTGATCTAAAAACGCACCCCTCCTCTTCCAAAAGGTGTGACAGCACCGGGGCTGCCATTGGGTCGAACACAGTACTTCATGATACAAAGCAGTCAAATCTTAAGTGCCAGCGTACTCACTCCAGTGGGAAAGAAACGAGAGAGACCGCCACGACCAACAGATCCAGAATGTTGAAGAGAGAGCGGCAGAAGGATTCCTTGTGTAACACCAGCCCATAGGTGATGATCTGCAAAAAACAAGTGGTATCACAAAATAGCCCGAAGCTCTTCAGAAGTACTATCCCATTCACTGGCCATAATGATTTGGACTACTTCATTGAAGATATTCAATTATTCCTTTGAACCTTGAGTGCGTGAATTGGGTTTTATGTTGCTTTTACAATCTCATTAACTCTTTCAACACCAGTCAACCAGAAGTGTTTACTGCTGGGACACCGAGTTCCCAGAGACTCTTGTGTGATAGATGAAGCCAACATTTATCAAAGAAAATACCTGCTTGTAAAATATATTTGCTACTACATGTTATACACCATTTGAAAGGTCTGGTCCTAAGGTTTATAATTATGAAAGTTATGTTTTTCACATTATTTAAAAAAATGCATTTACAACTTAATTAAATTTGTTGTAAATAAAAAATGTACGCTAACACGTTGTTAACATCCAGATTAAGGACCAAGGAAGCGAAAACTTGACGATTTTCGGCAAATATATGATTTCATAATATCCACGTACCTATTTCTGTTTTATTTTCATTGTTTACGTAATTGGAAAATCATTTTAAAAAGAATTACAAATAGTTTCTGTGATCGCCCATTTCCCGATAACAGCGACTGTCCGCTCAGTAAAATGAAGAAATACCCCTGTTTTCGAGGTTTCGTATGAATAACACGTGCGTCGAAGAATGGCATATGACACATCGCTGGAAAGCTTATTCCTTCATCTACACGCTCGTAACATCGACTGGTTTTTTCTCGTAGTTATAACAAGTGATTTCATTGGATTAAAATTGGTTTCTAATGACGCTTTCTTGCTGAAATCTGATACAAGTTTCGTGATTGGTCAATTTTGAGCACGTGACCTAAGGCAGCCAATCAAATTACAGCTGTGATACCAAGCTCGTGTTCGATAAATTACAGAAGTTTGCGAAAGAATTTTGTTAAATCGTGTTATTCTGAACGTTTTGAGCAGGAAATCACGATATATATTAAAAATATGGAACTTCGTGAATGTATCGTGCTAGGTTACGAGCTGTGACAAAGATTTTTCATGCATATATTTTTGCATTAAACATCGTGTCCGAGCCGAGAATTCAAGGCGACGAAAGCCGAGATGTCATTTGACTTACATTACCCGCGATCGCATGAAAAGATGGAAATAATAATATAGATGTAAGTTTGATTACTTTTAGATATGTTTTTGTTGATTTTATTTATTACTTTGTATAATATATTTAAAGATTTGTTTAAAACGTCCTTATTTTCCTCTTTGACGTGTTCGATGTGGACCCGTTGTCGAAATGTGTGTCCGAGAATTTTATTTTCAATAACATCGCGAGAAATAGTGAATAATTTTTTAATTTAACGATAAAAAATGTTAAATTAAAATGGAATATGTATTTCAGACATTGTGAAATGTGATAGATTTAATAAATGAATGGCATTACAGGTAGGTCCATAAAAATATATACTATTTTGACGTGACTACGGCTTGGCCGGATAACCGGCCTGCGGTGTCTGGGGACTCGATGCTTCTTGGCCAGATAACCGGCCTACGGTGTTGAAAGAGTTAATATCAAATTTTAGTTCTCGCAACCGCTAAACAAAGATTTGAGGACATCCCATTACACGTCACCTCAGACTGAACTATCACAAACTTTGATTGACCAATGGAATGAATGACAAGAAATCGACATTAGCCAATCAGGAGGCAGCTGTCTCGTGCTTTACGCACTAGCTTCAAACTGGCAACTACGTTCAAAACATATTTTGACAAATTTTCAATACAAAATTTAAAACTGAACAAAAGTGCATTCTGGAATGGCTAATAGATGGCCTAGATTGTATGGTCAGTCATAAAGTCCATAACTGTCATTCAGGATACCCTGTGTTACATTTTTCGAGATTGCATGATCAGAAAACACATTCTGACTGTCACTTTCATTATCTGGTAAGCGACGCTCTGGTTATATGAAAGGTCATTCTGACGTGACCCATAATGAGATTTTTGTTTAGCAGTAGCAAGAACTAGGGACTGATTTGAATGAGATTGTTTGAGATTGTTTGAGATTGTTTGCTTTTAGAAATATGGAATGGTCTTCAAACATTGTTCCAATGTGATGAAACGAAGCCAGATCTTTGGAAAGCTGGAAAGCCGAATGAACACTTTAACCACTTCGCTAGACATGATCTAATGCTTATTTATGACAGGTCTACTTACCTTGATGATAATCTCTATTGTGAAGACACTTGTAAAGAAGTAGTCGAAGTAGTTCAGGATCTGAAAGGTGGTGATGCCATAATCAGTAGTTGTACAGTAACTTCCTATATAACGAACACACTTACAACAAACTCACGGATATAACAAACTGTTTATGGTCCAGAACCTTAGCTGTATAAACGATGCATATATGCTTATTACGAACTACCGTTATAATGATCTAACATTATTGGTCCCTTTAGTTCGTTATAACAGTAGTTTAATGTAATTGCAATGTCAACAAATATTAGAAGCCTGTTGTCCCAAACTCGGATGTGTTCACACCACAATTGTGTCAAACTCTCAAAGTCTTAAACTAGAAGTTTTGAACTGGATGTGTCCAATTCCCTGTTGTCTCAAACTCAGTTTATAGTCCCAAATTAAAAATAATTGTTATGTGTACGCACACATTACAACATTAGGTATGAAAATCATCATAATCGAACACGAAATTCAGTCACAAGGGAAATACTGTGCGATGGAGGACTGCTGTAAAGGGAGACAACTCACGATGTTCCTGGGAGACTTTGAACGGAGGGGATCCTCAGCTGCCAACATGGCACTACTGATGAGGATGCAGGCCAGGACGATGTTGCCAAAGTAAGAGTGGTTGCAGGTCTTGTGGCAAAAGAGTCGGAATCTGCAAACACAGCAATCAACATTTTACACCAATTTACAGTGACAAGAATTCATGTTTTGCAATCTCACAAGAATTTCCATTGCCTCTGATACTACTAAAACCCAGGTCCAAATTACACTATACACCAAGCCAATAAACCCTGACAGTGAGATTGAATCCAAATGAACATAGTCATGTTCTTTGGTTTGTCACACAGCATACAGTCATACGATACTGTCATGAACAAGAGTGTCATTGAGTATGTGAAAACATTATGTATACGTCAGCGTAGAATACTTATCACCCTCAGAGGGGAGCACTAACCTACTTCCACCATGTGGGCTACGAACATGATGCACTTTACACACTAACGAAAAATCCTGAACTTCTCTCATCTACATCGTCCGACCTCGGCATGTGCACATACAGGGTAGTTACAAAAACAATCTGCTGAAACAATGGACACGACTACCCCCAATGTTATTAACCTCCAACGTGTTTGTGTGACCCAGTGAGGGTTTTTTACATGGTTAAATTCCCCTTATAAACCTACTGGCTGTTTGTGTAACTCGATGTGGAGTTTTTGAAATTGTGGTAACACCTCGTAGGAGGTATTACAATGATTGTAACACCTCGCAGGAGGTATAACAATGATTGTCACACCTCACAGGAGGGCTTACAATCATTGTCAACCCTTGATAGAACAAAAACTACGAACAGCCTACGAGACGCATGTGCAGATTTCGTGCCATTGCGAGACGCACATGCAGATTTCGCACCGTTGGGAAACCCACGTGCCGAGGTCACTGCTTTCATTGAACCGAGTTCACGACTGCAGGCGATATTTCATCTCCGATACAGGTTATACATTTGAGAGTTTTTATTACAGTTATTTAATTAAAAACGTTGTCTATGCGATGAGTCGGTTTATAAGTTGAACAAACCATTTCTCCTCAAGATTACCAGCGATTGTAAACCCTGACATTCCTCGGGAGCCTCCTTATAAGTTGGACAAACCACTTCTCCTCAGGAACCTTGAGATTGTAAACCCTGACATTCGGGAATATACCACCTGTCGGGGTTTACAATCTCAAGTTATCCCTCGGAGAAGTGGTTTCTCCTTCACATATCCTATCCTTAGCATGTATTACTCAACAACTCTTAGAGACCAAAAAAAATTAAATTTCGTTCGCCAGTTCAAGATTATTGTGTCACGATTCGAAACTTTTATTTCAATGCCGAGTTTTGATCTATCCAAAAGAATGCAAGCATACCTGTTTGTTGGTGAGAACATGAAGAGTGAGCTGGCTTGTGGGATGGGCTTTGCCTTGCTGGAGATGTGGAGTTCCGACATGCGACGTGGACGGGCAGTCGAGACAGTCTGTGTCTCGTCCTCATCCTCATCTTCTTCGTCCTCATCCTCATCGTCCTCTGTACCCTCATCCTTGTCGTCCTCCTCTTCTGGAAACACAAGTATGAGAAATGCAGGAGCAGGTATTATACTGATAGAGCAACTTCACTTCCACGAAACAATTACCGGGCAGAGTTCATACAGTCAACCCTTTCATTAGGGACTGACCAAAGCGGGTCTAGGGCTGGGACTTTTGAGGAAAACATAAATTTTTGGTCACTGCTTCAAGGCATACAGAAACCAAATAATAGAATAACATTTTTTATTTATTTTATTTAATTTTATGTTCAGCTAAAATGTTCATGTGTGTAAATTTTGGAGCAAATTTTCTTTCAAGCATTTTCTGGAGCAAATTAATTTTTTAACACTACAGTCTTTGTATACCGGCTAAAGTCCAGTCAATCTATGTTCTGGCTTCAGTTTGCAAACACAGGTTGAGGTCAACTTGAGAGTACCTTGTATAGGAACTTGATGACTGTTTCTGTATTCACCCGGCTCGTCACGATCGGGAGTCAAGTCAATATGGACATGATGATCACCAGAGCTGTCTCTCCTACTAAAAATATAGATCAATTACATCAAAATTAGCACTCTTGACATTTTCTAAAGAGTGTATTTATAGCGGCCATAAATTTTCCGAGTCCCGTGATGGGATTCGAACCACGGACCTTCTGATCAGAGGTCGGACGCCTTGTTCACATGACCAAAGAGGTTAATCCCGTCAGCAAGCTGACAAGGTAAGGATGTCATCTGTGGGATGACTCCACGCCCTGCTACATACTCCCCCGTCAACAGAAGGCACGTCCCGGGCCACATAGTAGGGTACTGAGGCTTATTTTGCTCAAATTTATTATGAACATGCTCAGCCCCACGTTGGGCGCCAATGTAGCGGCCATAAAATATCCGAGTCCCGTGATGGGATTCGAACCACAGACCTTCTGACCGAGGTCGGACGCCTTGTCCACATGACCAAAGAGGTTAACCCCGTCAGCAAGCTGACAAGGTAAGGGTGTCATCTGTGGGATGACTCCACGCGCTGCTAAAGATCAATTACATCAAAATTAGCACTCTGGACATTTTATTTTTGGACTCCTTTATTGGTTCCGATAATTTCACTCTGAATGGTCCTGTCTGAATCAATGGGATTTCACAGTTTAAAAACTTTCTGATAAATACTACCGGGTATTGCATATTTGTTTGCTCTTACCTCCGTGAGCTGGGCTGTCGGCTGAGATTTACAGATGCCTTGTCTTCGTCGTTTTCATTGTTATCATTTCCATTGACATCAACACCTTCATCTTCTTCGATGTTACCCTGGGTAAGGAAAAATACACTCAAAATCAAGATATATTTCACTTTTTCTACAGCAATTTTCCATATCAGGCATTTAAAAACAGCAAAACCTGTATCTGTGGCTAAATTTATATCATCACTTGTGTTGAAATTGCTTCAAAAAATCATCATAACACACAGAGCCTACCTCTCTACATACCAAGAATATTCTTGTAGATTTATAGAAAAACCTTACTTAAAAATTACTTAATAATGCAAAGTAAACTGAAGAATCTTTAGCTTAAAGACTGACAGCAAACCAATATGTGCTAGAAACACAGACTATTCTTTCTTAAATGTTCTCTAGCGCACACAAGAAAGAACTGAGGTTTTACCGCCTTGCAAATGCACAAGGATTCTGGGTAAGCATGATGCTATTACTGGCACAACTAATGTTATGGTAGCCAAAATACAGGATGATGGCAATGATGTAATAGAGGTTTTGTATTTGCAGAAATTGTATCTGTGGCTGAATTTATATCAAAACTTGTGTTGTATCGTACCTCTTTTTCCGGAGTTTTGCTTTTGGACCTTCGGATGGATCGTGTTCGTTCCTTCTCCTCATCCTTCTGCTGCTCGATCTCAGTCAGACTCTGGGCATCAGCCAAGTTGTCAACAGCAATGGCCAAGAAGACATTCAACAAGATATCTGAGAGGAGGTGTTAAGGGAAATATGCCTTGACTAAATGGAAAACTGTGAAATACATACATACCTATACATACAATACTTCCTATATATTCTAATACTTCCTCACAAGGACATATCTGTGAGGTGATAGTAGTGTAGAAATTGTTTTTGTTTGCGATGGCGGTATGTTAATGAAATGTTAACAGTTTTCATCGTCCTTTATTTATGGTATCAAGGCCCAAATTTGAAACAATTTTGTATATTTCCCAATGTTGCTACAATGTAACTTGACAGCTGCCAACCATGCCTTACAGTAAAACTTGCATTATTGAAATAATCTAGACTAACAAATGCCTGGATAAACGAATTATGTCATTTTGTAAACATAAGAAGCGTTCCCAACAGTGATGACCCAGATTAACGGGGCCCAGACTACGGGTGTACAGCTGATTGCTGTGTCCGGCTTAGTTTACGAGAAAATACACAAGGTAATCTTAATCCCTGGATATCAAACAATGCCTAGCAGAACGAAAAATACAATTTAAACGGTAAATCAACATGTCTGGTGATTTTTTATCTCAAATTTCGAATTTGTACTGACCAAGTTTCTCATCGATAAAGGGGTAGATCTCTACGGTGTAATTTTTTTTCTGCGCTTGGTATTCGAATTTTTTTTTCTCCAAAATATTGAATCCACTAGAGGGGGGTGTGCATTATACATGAGTGCGCACTATACTCAAGAAAATATGGTATCTAGGGGCATATTTGGCCCATTTGTCTCAGGTGTTGCCATTCCCTGAGAAGAGTTGCATCCCTTGGGCCCGCCAGAAATCTCTGATCATGGGTTTGAATCCCAATATTTCTAGCTTTGCCAGCACCATACCCGTGGTCGTAGGATTCCTTAGAAAATGGATGTAAAACATCTCTTGCCTGCGCACATGTATTTGAAAAAGAGATTCTTAAAAGCATTGTGGTTATCGTCTCTGTAGCCTTGTGATTCACATTCGAAGCAATAGGTAAAAACAATGAGATGACGTCACTAGAGGCCTATAAGTCCAGGAAGTGCGTGACCAGTACAGATGGAGTGTACAGATCAAAGGCAAGGATACAGTTACCACAAATGAAGAGCACAACGAAGTATATACAGACGATGACGCCGGGCTTCTTGACGCCGCCATACGCCCTGATCCCATCATACATCACCATGTTCCAGTCCTCACCAGTCAGGATCTGAAGCGTGGGGATCACAATCAGTCATGTATCACCTTTAAGAACTCTATTCCCAAAAAAATCACCTTATGTGTGACATTTAAAGGGGATTCATAATACAAACATATTTAACATTAGCAAATCAACCATTTAGCACTTGTTTTGCACCTGTGCTCAAATATTGAATTCATGGAAAATTCATTGTGTGTTACTAGACTGGGAAATATGGACCAAATGTAAAATAAATGCTGCTTTAACACATTGATTACATGTTCGTTTGAATCATCTCAATTATGAGGTATTAGTATAGTCACATGGTAACATATTGATTACATGTGTGTTTGTATCACCTCGATTATGAGGTATTAGTATAGTCACATGGTAACATATTGATTACATGTGTGTTTGTATCACCACAATTATGAGGTTTTAGTATAGTCACATAGTAACACATTGATTATGTGTTCGTTTGTATCACCTCAATTATGAGGTATTAGTATAGTCACATAGTAACACATTGATTACATGTTCGTTTGTATCACCTCAATTATGAGGTATTAGTAGTCACATGGTAACATATTGATTACAATGTGTCTGTATCACCTCAATTATGAGGTATTAGTATAGTCACATGAATATGTGCATAGACATGGGTAAATGTTAGTGGTTAAGCCTGATGCCTATTTCAGATCAAAGTCTAGATGTTGTAAAGTGTGAGTGGAAACATTGCCTCTGTGTGAACTTGAATCAAACTTGCTAATACTGCCAACTTGCCTGCTCCTTCAAGGTGGTGAGGTGAAATGGGGTTTAACATCACGTACAAGACTATTGCACTTATATAGCGATGCGTGTGTGTGTGTGTCTGTGCGTGTGTGTGTGTCTGTGCGTGTGTGTGTGTGTCAGTGCGTGTGCGTAGCTGCTTCTACTAGTCCAGAATAATGCCAATTTCATACTGTATGAATACCCCACTCAGACACAGTATACTGACTCCAAGCTAACCAGTCCTTGTTTTAGCCCCTTAATGCTGAGACAGGTATTATCTATTAAAAGTCTTTTGGTATGGCGCGGACATTGATTATGTGTTCATTTGTATCACCTCAATTATTACTCTGCTCCCTGGGAGACATTCTACCACTAGACCAAGGACGCAATCCAAGGCAACGAAGCCTCCCTACCAGGAACATGGACAACAAGGACTGCCAGAAGGTATCAAACTCTGCTCCCTGGGGAGACATTCTACCACTAGACCAAGGAGGCAATCCAAGGCAATGAAGCCTCCCTACCTGGAACACGGACAACAAGGACTGCCAGAAGGTATCAAAGTTGCTCCTGGGAGTCTGCTGGTCAAAGTTGAACTTGCCACCAAACAGTTGCATCCCAAGTAAGGCGAAGATAACAATGAAGAGAAACAACAGCAACAACAAACTGGCAATGGATCGCATACTGTTCAACAGTGACGCTACAAGGTTCCGCAGTGACGACCAGTACCTGGAGAAACAAAGTACAACGTGACATTCTGATGCATGCGGTTCCAGGGATTTATCTAGACTTGCTCCGGGGATGATATTTAATCCCAAATCAGCAGAAAATGTCAGTAAAATTTCATAATTTGAATTCAATTCTTTTTCCCAATTACTCAGAATTCACGTAATGAGAACATACAAAAAAATAATTTTTGAACAATATCCCCATTTTCCCCCAATTTGCTTGCTAAAGGCAATTAATTTGGAATCGTGTATAAATCCGTCATGTTCATGTTTAATGCATATGGGAGGTTATCATGGCCTCAAATTCTAATCTAAAAATAAAAAGTTTTGTTTTTTAAAGCCACATATCTACCATATTTTACTTGTATGTTATCTATTCATAATTCTTACTTGATTTTCACTCATATGTAATAAATACAATACTGTATACATGTCTTATCCAATCATAATTAATTAATTTTAACGTATATATGTTATAACTTCAAATTTTACCAAATCAGTGGTATGTATCATGTTTTTCTAGTACCCCCTGCTGTGATATTGCCTGAATACTGCTAAAGCACTGACAACCACACTCACTTACTCACTTATGTATCAGGCTATCTGATAATAATCCACACTTGACTTTCAATCAGGTACGATAACTGCCCTGATAACAGTCCCTTAGTCAGTCTTAATGTTTTAGTTTATGTAATAGGGCTGGGACAGGTAACTCTGGTACTCAGGTCGTGTGGGTCTTGAGTAGGACCCGGGTACCCACAGGATGAATCAGACCCTTGGTTAGTCACGTGATGGATTGTTAAATGACAAAAACTTACTATAGCTCAGTGGTTACACTACATGTCTCTAATGTTCGCATTTCTTTCTGACGATGCACACATTCCTTTTGACTTGTATATGTTTGAGTAGAGATAAAGCTTTAGTCAACTTCAGTGTACGCATGATCTGATTGTTTGATACATGTATCTTAATAGTTTTAACCAGGGTGGTAAAACAATTCCCAATCAAGACATTTTGGTCCCAACTCTTGAGACCTACAGCAGGTACCCGGGTAGGGTTGGGTAATAGGGGGTATGTACCGGGTAGTAAATTTGGACTCGTCCCAGCCCTACTATGTAATATATCCAAAATCCACCATATTACATCTGATAAAACTTTCCCTGTCAAATGTCCCTAACATGCATTACTAGCACATTAAAGCAATGTGTGTGGACAGGTTCATCACTTCCCAGGGCGGTCGGGTAGTCTAGTGGTTAAAGCGTTCCCTCGTTACGCCGAAGACCCCAACATGGTTACAATGTGTGAAGCCCATTTCTGGTGTCCCCCGCCGTGATATTGCTGGAATATTGCTAAAATCGACGTAAAACCATACTCACTCACTCATCACTTGCCACATGGAACTCACCTGGTAGCCTTGAAAACTCGGAGTAAACGAGCACACCTGAGCACAGACACCCCCAGGGGTGGCATCACGCCCGTGTATATAAGGATCACTTCCAGTATACTGAACAACACAACAAAACTGTCAAAACGGTTAAACAGGGACACGAAGTACCCTTGGAAGCCAAGACTGTACATTTTGAGAAGCATCTCAAAGGTAAACAACACCACAAAAAACATATTGGCAATGGCTGGAAGAGAAAGAAAAAACATTGTTTAGCATATAATTAAATAAACATTTGTTCAAATATTACTTTTTTTCATTAGTTATCAATATCATCTCAATAGGTATCTCTTATTTGTATCTTATATAATGTCAATATATAATAATTATCATGATTCTATATACACATGTACATTTTGTTTCTATAATATTTTCTGATTTATAATATTCAAAAACTCATCACTTGTCATCATTACAAATGATTGTATATTATCTTCTCATGTTCTTTTCCTGTATTTTGGGGATTCCTTAATTAAAAATAACATTAACCAAAAATATATTAACTGAGATTACATTTGGCTATAGGAAAAAGGAAATGTTTCTCAGGCATTGGAGCATCACTAAAAATCCTGCATATCAGTCATTATTATTGCCAATAAAAACATACTTTTCAAATTTCCTCATCATCTGAAGTAGACTCAACAGCTTACATTGTATTGAAGAGCCAAGTGCATGTGTACTGTATTTCTTTTCAACTTTCCACATTTTGCTGCTTTCAATAAACAATTTAACAAGACCTCCCTCCCCATTTTTTTAAGAAACGTGCCTGAGAACCATTTTTGTCCATGCAGCCTCACTAAAACAGAAATAGTTATAATTGATAAAAACTAACCTTGAAAATTGTCCAACCATGGGGGTTGTTGATAGTGTTCAGAAGTAAGCACACATGTATTCAAAAACACAAGAACAATAACTATCCAATAGAATGCTTGAGATTTCACTATTTTCCGGCATCCTCTTCTACATCTTCTATTAAATTTTTGAAAACGTAACCTGGAACAAAATGTATACATCATTCCACACACTATCCCAACATCAGCAACCTGTGATACTAACACCACATATATACTGTGAAAGCTATCCATATGATGGTATTGATTTTTGTGGTTGTTAAGGTGAATTCTCCTGAATTGTCTCCCTTTGCACAAAGATGTCTGCCTGTAACATATACTTGTACAGACTTCCAGCTGACGCAGCTTGAGATCACTTTGTAGAATGCTTCCAAGGAGTAGGATTTACAGTCATTAGATATGTGTGTGTTTGAAGAATACCGTATTCGACGTAATAAGCGCCCTGCTCTAATAAGCGCCCACGGCCATATTTGCTAATATATTGGCCAGTGAACAATCCCAATTAGCACCCCTTCCGATTGGTCAATGTAAAAAAGACTTATTTATTCGCGTATACTGCGCACTCGTGTGTTATATGCACCCTTAATTATGGGCATTTAAATTCTGGAAAAATATATCTGTCGTATATAAACATTTCAGGCTGTCAGCATAAACCACGAAATTGATCTTTCAACTGTTTTTTTCACCAAAATAATATTCTAATAAGAGCCCCCTATTTTTAATTTTGAGAGCGCCCTGTGCGCTTATTACGTCGAATACGGTAATGTTTTAATGCGAATAATTATTTTGCTCTCACTTTTTAGTTTGAAACCAGGAGTGCTGTATTTCCCCGCTCCCCATTTCCTCCGTTTTCTCTATAGCATCTGTCTCCGCAACAGCTTTACCTGAAACAGACAAACATCAAAGTAAGCAATACCTCAGACACTCTGCCTTCAGACAAGTTGGTGTTGATCAGCATAAACTACCCCACCATACATAAATGACAATTGTACCATATCTCATAACCCCTTTAGACTGACTTATTGATTTCAAATTTTACGTCAGCAAAACATATAGTTGATAAAAATTGCTTTGACGTCATTCTTATCTTTAAACTTCAATTCTAATCCAGCTGTCATTATTGTATGGCGTGAAGGATGAAAAGGTCCCTCAATCCCTCAAGATAAAAGTAGGGATTGGGTACACCCGTGCAAATTGATAGAATCACCACCAGATAACACCAGGGGCGGTCGGGTAGCCTAGTGGTTAAAGCGTTCGCTCGTCACGCCAAAGACCCGGGTTCGATTCCCGACATGGGTACAATGTGTGAAGCCCATTTCTGGTGTCCCCCGCCGTGATATTGCTGGAATATTGCTAAAAGCGGCGTAAAACCAAACTCACTCACTCACTCACCAGATAACACCAAACTGATGTGGGGCGATGGGGTAGCCTAGCGGTTAAATCATTTGATCATCACGCCGAAGGCCAAGGTTCAATTTCTTACATGGATACAATGTGTGAAATCCATTTCTGGGGCCCCCTGCCGTGATATTGCTGGAATATAGTTAAAAGCGGCGTAAAACCATACTAACTCACTCACCAAACTGATGCTGTGGATCCCTACTGCCACTTAATCTCCACAGCCATGTCTGGTTATAGTGAGTGATTGAGTTGGGTTTAACGATGATATAAATATTTCAGTTACATCATTGGGTGGGAAAAAGTGGCTTAGCCCCAAGTGATGCAGATCCTTACCTCTTTGTGAATCCAATGGGGACAGGTGTGGTGCTGACAAACCCATAAACAAGATCAGGGCAAATCGAGATTCAGAATGGTTACTTACTGTGTCTGGGGGTATTCCCATCTTCTACTTCATCTTCATTTTCTGGATCTATGTCCTCTGCAAAATATATCGCACACAACATTGAAAGTTTGCTTGATTTGGGCCACAAATATGTAGGGAGTTATCCACAGGGTGTCTGGGATAGTGGGCTTTGTATTATCTTGGCCAAAATTAAGGTAACAGCATTGAACAATATATCAGGTTCAAACCGAGACAACAAACCTCAGTTCTCCTACTCATTTTTAAAAATTTGCATCTACTGAAATCCAATCTTCAAACAGAATTTGGCTAAAACACTGCAAATACTAAACCGTTACGTAATATCTGTGCCTCAATCCTTCAAAAGACCTACAGGCCAAGTCTCATATTGTTGTTTGTTTGTATGTTTGTTGCGTAATGCCACAGTCAGCAATATTCCAGCTATTTGACGGTTTGTAAATAATCAAGTCTGGGCCACATCATCCAGTGATTGACATCATGAGCATTGGTCCACGCAATTAGGGCATACAAGCCTGCCCACCCAAATCAGACAGTCGCCTCTTTCAACCAGACGGATATTCTTACCCTGGATCAAGCTCCTTCCCAGCGCGTGACACCTTCGTTACACTCTTGGTAACATCGCTGCCACCAGTGTGGGCGCGGCCATTACAAGAATCTTGAAATTTGCTCTCTAACCCCATATGTAGTAACCATTATACTTTTGTTTATGTCTTTGGGAATGCCATCATATTTCATTTTGAAAAGGTTTACGACTGAAAATGTTTTCCAGATGAATTTACTTCATTGTTTTAATAATCAGATTGATTCGAGATTGCAGACTAACGGAAAATCAACCAACTTCTCCCCTACATTCTTACTATATCAATTAAAGATGATAGTTTTAATGAAATAGAAATTCAAATTGACAAACAAAGAAAGTAATTTATCAGCGGTAAGTGTATTCGGCGTCACGACAGTCACTTGTTTGTAAACATAACGGTCATTCGGTTGCGAGTTCAACTCCAAGCATGGTTGGGGCCACCTATCACAGTGGGGAGTTTTGACTGGTGGCAGCGATAGTATAGAGAGCTATTGCTGTGAGGAGCTTGACCCCGGATACCCAAGGGTTGACAACTCTTATACACATCATTGTACAAACATAATAACTATACAATGCCTCACCTGCTTGTGTTATCCAGTCTAAATACCCCCTAAGATCTTCTTCTAATTGCTGTTTTTCTCTAAGTTTTTGAAAATCACCCCGAGCTTTTGCTTTTTCTCTCTCTTTGGAAAACTCTCTGTAACAGAATGGAGAACATCATTAGTGGACTGTTTTACAGCTAAAATTAATATGTCAACCATATTACAATAACAAGTGAACATGAAAAACATTTTTTTCAGAAGCTTTAAACTGGTACAAATTATGATCAAAATCATCCTTTAATTCTTAGAAATTGAATGAGTTAACGCCTGAAAGTCAGCAAATATTAAAGACCGTCAGTGGTGTAGTCATGTAATGATCCTGGGACACTGTAGCTCACCTAGGTAAGCAAGTCTACAAAGACAGACACATAATAAAAGTATCTGTCAGCATTGATATTCAGTTATTTTCTGTTTAGAAGTGAGGACTTGAAAGAAAAAAATAGAAACATACATGCAAATGTCACCTTTGTTCTGGAAATTTAAGGGACATTCAAAGAGCCAAAAGACAGTTTGAGAGAATTCAAGAGCATGGCCAAAACATAAACGTCAAAAACTTATATGATAAAAAACACAGCATGGCCATAAATAGGTTCTTAACAATGGCTGCCATGTCGGCTAAATTTAAAATCAGATTTAAACCACTTATTCAGGTGTTTTAATTTGTGGAAACAAGCAGTTGGAAGTTTCAGCTTCCAAAATGTTTTACATCACACAAAAGGCAAACATGCCCGAACATATGCTCACTTGACTTTCAGTCAGGTGAGCTAAAAATTGGTTTCGGATTCTGTCGACACTAAAATAGTTAAAATGGAAAATGGAAAAGTCTGGCCTAGTGGTGTAGGCAACTTACCCGCTCAACACACCAAGAACAAGGTTGAGAACAAAAAAGGAGCCTATGATAATTAAGCTGATAAAATAGATCCACGGCCACTCACTTCCCACAGCATCATTCACCTGAAACACAGATCAGAGGTACCAGAAATGCACATATTTAGGCCTCTACATATAATAGCTCAAGGCCGCAGTCCTATAGCTGGAATACTGCTGAGTGCAGCGTTAAACAACAAACAAACAAACTATAGCTCATGGGCTTAAAAGCGAGATTGCTTTTTGGTGTGTTTTTTTAAATCAATTTTGAGTTATCCATCCCTCGCCCACATTTCAAAACAATGGAATTTGACAGTATTACGCTGATAATCAACACCTTTTTCAGACTGCTAAAGCTGCGAGAGGCATCAATATTTATGTGACACTTTGGTCTCCACAATTGTTTTTCATTATATTTTGGTGTTTAAGTGGTGTATAACTTTCAAATTTGAAAAAAAGTTGATTCATTAAAATTAAATTAGTCATGTTTGCATGTTTTTCATATTTAAGTCCAGGGCTTAATTCAGGATGCAATATTTAGTTCTAAAATGAGACAAAACCTGTTATTATGCCCTGGGCTTAAAGTATTTGTGTATTCTTTTGATATGAAATACTTAAACACAAGTCAATAAGATTTAAATATCCGAGGCTTACCGAGGAGTTTTAAACATCTGTCAATGAGTGTTGATATATTTAATATCAAAAGACATGAACATGATGAGTGTTGATATACATGATGAAGGTAAGATCAATTACCATACAAAATCATAACTCTAACGTTTTTAGTTTGAAAGTTATGTAGCATGTTAGCAATAATTTATTATCCAAAGCTTATTGCCTGAAGCTTATCATCTATCAAATACAGCCTATAAGACAATGTGACAACATTTGTGACAAGGACACAACACCACTAAATACTCACATCATACAAAACATCTGTCCATCCTTCATTGGTTATACACTGGAACACTGTTAGCATAGCTAAACCAAAGTTATCAAAGTTTGTAATGCCATCATTTGGCCCTATCCATGAATCCTTCACACACTCGGATCCGTTCACTACGCTTTTACAATCGAATCCCCTTCCACACGGGTGAGGATCAGGTAAAGCTTCTCTTACTGAAAGAGAAGGAAAAGAAAAAGCATAATTAGTCTGTTTTTTTCAAAATCAACAAAATGTAATAACTGCAATCCATTGTTTTAATGATTCTACCAATAAGTTTTCCCTCATGTGAGAGCAGCTTTGATTCCAAAAACATTGTCACTCAGTCTCCATAGCTCACCTGAATTTAATTAGTGACATGGTACTTAAAATAATAATCAATTTGCAATCAGGATTTGAGAAAGTGATGAAACTATGTTTGGATCAACAGGGCTGCTAATGTTTGGTATAACATAGACATGGTCTGTATAGTGTTCACACAATGCATATCAACAGTTACACACATCTCTGATCAAATATGGCCGCCATGGGGCAAAAGTAACATTTTCAATGGCCGCCATGGGGGCCATCTTTAAAATCTGATCTGCTTTTTGTGAGCATGTATACCATTGCAAGGATTACTGATACAAAGTTTCAGTTAAAAAAAATTCTTACAGGTGGAAAAAATGTAAAAAGCATGCAAAGGACAGTCTGATGTGACATTAGTTTATCACATACTTGATGCACTTATAATTCATGCACATGAATAATGTTTTGAAATGGCAAAAAAATGGGCTGCTTTAAACATTTTTTCAGTTATATCAGAGCGTGTCAATTTGATGTGGAGGGAAGCTTGAAGTGACAAAAATTATAGTTGAGTACCACTTTGGTAAAACCCTCTGGCACAACCACATATCATAATCAGGGATTCAAACTGGCAATCAGCAGCTCCTGGGCACCATTCCACAGAGCAATCTTAGTTCTACATTTGTCACAACTCCCACACTCTAACATAAACTTATTATAAGCGTTACACTAAAATTGCTTTGTGGAATGAGACCCTCCACAAGTAAAGAGAAATGCGCTTCTTTGGAGCACTATGAAAGAGTCTGATAATAAAGTGAGATATTTGAGTAAATCATTAATACTTACATGGATTTTTAAAATAACAGGTATCATGTAACTTCCCTGAGAAGAGTTCTAGTCCAATGATAGCGTAAATGATGATTACAAAGATAACTAACAGTGCTATGTGTAACAAAGGCACCATTGCTCGGAGGATAGAATTCAACACTACTTGTAAACCTGAAAACAACAAAAATACCATGGTTAACAATTAATACATTCAAACATTCACCATCACAAACATTTCAACTGTTCATCCATCTGCCTATAAAGGTTGTTTCTCCTCATGTTGCATTTCCATTGTTTTGTTGGATTATTATACTTCAATATTTCATCAATCCTCTTTAAAATTTCTCCTGACTCAAATGACAGAATTACTACGTCATACATAGGTCACAAAATCCTTTTAATAATATTTGATTTTAACATGACACAGTGATGCAGTGACACAGCTTCACACATTGTACCCATGAGGGGAATTGAACCTGGGGCCTCAGCGTGACAAGCAAACGCTTTAACCACTAGGCTACCCGACAGCCCTTTAGAATGATGGCGCATCATTAATGCTACAAGGGCTGTTGCCATACCACGTTATTAGCATGGAGCCACACAGCAGAAATGGTGTTGGTCATGTCACTTCCAAAATGAAGACTTTGTGGTTAATGGATTCAAGGTATTTTGCACAACAGAGTGGAGATATGATAGACTGGATAATTGAGGCTGTTCATTAAACAGTGCTGATTCTCTTAAAAAGGAACATCATGCTCTACTTAAACAGCACTACAAGTGGTGCCACGGCACTGTAGCTCACCTTACTATAAATTCAACAGTTTAAAATTACAACAAAGACAGACACTTAAAAAGGTTGCTGGCAGCATTCATGTTCATATTCAAATTTAGTTTCATAAAAAAATGTAAAGTCAAATAAAGGCCTAAATTGAAATATAGTGAATTTATTTTTGTTGAGACCTATAGTCAACAACACATGTACCAAATTTCATTCCACTTTGAAATAAATGTCTGGGAAATGGCCAAAATTAGGTTGTTCAATGTGGCTGGGGTGTCATCATTGGTGGCAACAAGCATGTTACCTTTCATCTTCATTGGTTTCAAGTGTTTTCTGAGATGACGATGTTTACAGTGAGAGGAAATGCATTTGGAAAGAATTTAGGAGCGTGGTCAAAGTGTAAAGGTCAAATAAAGGTATTCAATATGGCTGCCATAGTGGCCATATTGAAAATCAGATTCAAACAAATCGGGGTGTAATCATTGGTGGGAAGAGCATGTTTCAGCTTCATTGGTCCAGTAGTTTCTGATGAAGATGTTAAAACAACAATACACAACAGACATAAGCTCACTTTACTTGCAGTTAGGTGAGCTAAAAATGAACATGTTGTCATGCTATACGTACTTGGAGCTCTGGATACAAGCCGCAATGGCCTCAAAACCCTGAAGGCTCGTAGAGCTTTCACATCAAACCCTTTGCTATTTATCTCAGAAAGGATCTGACTTATAATACTGAAACATAAGAGAAACAATAATGAATATAATGTGAAACCCCCCGAGAAAAACAAAGCTATTGGGTTCTGTAGCTCACCTGATCTACATCTGCCATTATCAAAATGATGAAGCATTAATATGGATACATTGAAATACAGCCATGAGGTTCTAATTTCTGTTTTGTCATGATAGAATTCGTTTTGTATTCTGAAGGAAACAGACATGAATTTTTTAAATGTATTTTTCGCCAGGACATAACAGTACCCAATGGCCATTTTAACCACTGAAGGGACTGTGTGGTATCCTTGCAGTAAAACATTTGGCTCGTTACAACAAAGATCTGGAACTGATTCCAAACATATGTGCAATGTGGGAGGCCGATTCTTGCTGCCCCCTGCCATGTTTTTTGTTTGTTTGTTTGTTGTTTTACGCCACACTCAGCAATATTCCAGCTACATGACGGCAGTCCGTACATAATCGAGTCTGGACCAGACAATCCAGTTATTGAAAATCATGAGCATCGATCCACGCAATTGGGATTGATAACATGCATCAACCAAGTCAGCAAGCCTGACCACCCGATCCCATTAGTTGCCAACCCCTGCAATGATGCTGCTGGAATAGTGACAACAGTTGCATACAAGCAGTGTTTGACAAAAGCGCCTCCCCATAGGCCCATGAGGTGAGGTGAAATTGGGTTTAACGTCGCGTCCAAGATTATTGCACTTATATAGCGACGTGCATGCACGTGTATGTGTGTGTGTGGCTGCTTGTACTAGTCTGGACTGATGCCGATTTATAGTGCTAGCTCACTGAGATACCATGCCGCAGTTTAACATGAATACCCCACTCAGACACAGTATACTGACTCCGAGCCGACCAGTCCTTGTTTTAGCCCCTTAATGCCGAGCGCCAGACAGGGTAACAACAAGTACAATCTTTTAACGTCTTTTTGTATGACGCGGCCCGGGATCGAACCCTGGACCTTCCGCTCTCCGGGCGGACGCTCTACCACAAGACCACGGAGGCCGTCCATAGGCCCATGAGAGGTAGATCTAGTTTAGGGTACATAATTTCATATTGGTATGGGTCCATATGGCCTGCAGTAAATTTAAATGTTGATTTATTTGTAACAGTAAGCTGCAGTTTTTTCAATGAGGGCCTGGAGAGTTTAGGCAGGGCCAGCAGCTCACAAAGTCTCTGCGCCCTGATGGCATCCTGGCAATATGGTTTCTTTTCAAACACTGCATACAAGCTAACTCCCTCACTCACTTATTCAAACACTGAAAATAACAGCTGACGTATTTAGCAGCACCACAGCCAATTCAATCAACATAAGTAACCGATGTAGGTTTTTATTCCTCAAATTAGTGTTGCAATATCAGTGCCCTGTAGCCATTTCAGCAAGTGTATATCAAATGAAGAATTACATGCTCTCCATAAAAACTGTCAATCGTATCTACATGGCAACAAGCAATCCTCTTGAAAACATTACTAGCAATGCATTGTGTGTACAAAGCAATGACAATTCAAGGCTAAAAAAATGACCTAGATTTCTCAACACTGGATAATGACAGGGAATTGAATCCATTCCCTAAAGAAGTCAGCTTTCTGATCACTAGACTGTCTGTTAATTTGATTTCAAGAGATCTGAGTTGTCATGAATTATTCACCCTACAAGTTGAGAGCTTCACATAACAGCATGGTGGGACCTTGGATAGACAGTTTCACTGCATGGGGATGGTCCATTTATCATTAATAACCGTTCTGTCTGTCCGTGACCAATGACATCATGGGCTTGGGCTTTGTATGCGGAACAACGAACAGATATGTGACTGTGAGTGAGTGAGTGAGTGAGTGAGTATGGTTTTACGCCGCTTTTAGCAATATTCCAGCAATATCACAGCGGGGGACACCAGAAATGAGCTTCACACATTGTACCCATGTCGGGAATCGAACCCGGGTCTTCTGCGTGACGAGCGAACGCTTTAACCACCAGGCTACCCGACCGCCCCATATGTGACTGTGACAATTCAAAAATGCCCAAATTGGATGACTTCATTATATTATTGGTATTATTTACCTGAAAATTATCACATTTGAATGGCCTGTAATGAATTCAGACGTGACTGACTTCTCATGCCCAAATTATTTATTTTACACACTTTATTTTTGGTTAACTGATTTTGACATGGCTTGGTCAAGATAAATTTGAATATAAATTTGTGTGGCTCAATATATATATATTTTTGTAAGGCATAAAGTGTTCTGGGTTGGTTGGGGTATTAGGATAAAGAAATAATTCTGTTGAAAAGTGAAGAATGTTTACTGTGTTCACTATGCTTACCATGTTCACTATGTTCAAAAACATTAAGTTATGTGTTTGTTTGGTTAATGTAGCACACATGTGAAGCCCATTTCTTGTGTAAATAATCAAGCCTAGAAAGGACAACCCAATGATTGACATCGTGAGCATTGATCTGCACAATTGGGATACGATGACATGCATCAACCAAATCAGCAAGTGACCACCTAATCCTGTAAGTCGCCTCTTATGCCAAACATGGGTTGCTGAAGACCTACTCTAACCCGAATCTTAATGGGTATCATAATATGTAAGTAATCAAAGAAAGATTTGCAGTTCCAACTTAATTATATCATAAAGATTCATGGGTGTAAAAGCTCCTGACATGTGGAGCAAGGTTGTGAGTGAGTGAGTGAGTATGGTTTTACGCCGCTTTTGGCAATATTCCAGCAACATCACAGCCGGGGACACCAGAAATGGGCTTCACACATTGTACCCATGTCGGGAATCGAACCCGGGTCTTCGGCGTGACGAGCGAACGCTTTAACCACCAGGCTACCCGACCGCCCCAGAGCAAGGTTGTGAATCGTAGAGTCTGTTATGGTCAGTAATTTGTCCCAGATAAATGTTGACTGGTAGCCAAGTCCCTCGAGGAGGTTGTCTTGGTGCAAGTCTGCAGATAAGAAGCCCAATAAAGCATATACACCTACACCCACGTCAATGTTTTACCACGTGAGAGGGGATAACATGTACACACGATATACACAGCATACGCCTCACTGATTTCAAAATCTGGAACATAAATCTGAGCTTTTTATTGATTGACCTTTTTGCTATTGAATTACATTCCCAGAAGTTTTGATTACATGAATGACATTCTCAGAACTAAAGTACTTAAGTTATTTACTGGGTCTGATAAGAACTAACAGTAATCCTCTGGTTTTAACAACGTTAACAATAATCTCTGAGACTGATTAAGAATTTGATAGCCAACTTATGGCAACAGATGTACACTGAATCGGAGAATTGTTTGTCGCAAATTATGTTAATGAAGAGGTGAAACAAACTCCGAATTGTGAGTTCTAATTTCTGGGCAATGAACATGTTCATCATTAGAGAATTATGAGTCCAGGCAATCACAAGAAATGACCCAGAATTGGAGCATTGCGAGTCCTGACTACTGCAATGAATGACACAAACTGGAAAATTGCAGTGAACTGTGAGTCCCGCCATGATGAATGAGGCCAGGAACTGTGTCATTACTACCCAAGTATCAGTACTGCACATTCCTATAAAAGTTACAGCAGATGCACCGTCAAAAGTTTAATCCTTAAGCTGTGAATGAATGAGTAAAGCTCAACAGCTTGATGATTTTATTTCCATTAACTGAATTCAATACTAAAGTTAAACCTTGTTCCACAATGACTGTTAAAGTGATAGGAAGTAGGATAATGAAAGCCTATGATAAGATTAGACAGTGGTATGTAATTATCATACAATTGTATCAGGGCCTTTTCAAACTTTTGGATATATGGGGATAAACTACGTGGGGGCACGGGTGGCCCAGTCGTCTAAGGCGCCGCAATTCGCTGTGCAGAGTTGCGTCCCTTGTGCACTCCAGAAACCTATGATCATGGATTCGAATCCCGGTTCGTCCTGATTATGTTTCTAGGTTTGTCAGCACCATACCAGTGCTCGTGGGTTTCACCGAAGTGGTAAACATCCGAGACCTGCATCACTTTCCGGGCTTTCCTCCGACATTAAGCTGACATGCCGCGATATAACTGTAATACTGTTCAAAGCGGCTTTAAACCCAACTCACTCACTCACTAATTGGATTCATGATTCTTATTTCACAACCCTACACTATGTGACTAAAACGGGGCTACTCCTGGTATTCTCAATCAAAATGGGTTCCCAAGAGCCGATGCTTGTCTCATGAAGTGATTTCAGGGAGGATTGGGTGGACACAGAGCGGGACCTGGTTGAGGGTGCGCCTTAGTATCACCACTCATGCCACCAACCACTGGTTTGACTGACTGAAATTATTGCAGTTCACTGTGGTATAGCCGAAATCTGCTGACTGGCATAAAAAACCAAATACCCACGGTACATTTGCATCTTTACTTACAACAAGCATGGAACCTATGTTTCCAACCACATTCACAGACTGCCAAAATTGAGACTTTTCCCACCAAATGCAGATTAAGTTTCATGAGTGTGAAGGGATGGATTTTGGTTTAAAGTGTGAGCAAATATATTTTTCAAATGCCCACTGAATGTGTCAACATCTTTAAAATGCCTGTGCACAGAAGAGCTTTCAAAATGGCTGCCTGTAGAGATTATGCCTCACAGCAAACAGGTGAAGACAATATTTTCTTTGAAAGTTGTTCAAACTCAATGAACTTTTTGCTCGTGCTTTGAAAGTATTCCCTTGAGTGTGGAATGTCTTTCCTGAATGGGAGGAGATTCAAGCACTTGGAAATCCTTCACACAACCACTGTGCTTGAGGTGCAATGCTCCAGCATCAGTTATCTTAATGAGAGAAATTGGGAACACCAGTGTGCAGGTGTTAGGTGCCATGGTCTCTATTGCTCGTCTCATCTGTCTCCGATTATCAATCTTTTCTTTCTGTGTACAGAGTATCTACTTTACATCTGTCAGTCTTTAACATTTCTTTCTTCATGTGTCAGTATGTCTTCATATTTTTTGT